TTCACTTGTGAATGGACACTACCATCATTATAAAATGGATCCATACCATATACGTTGTTTATTGATGTTTGTCCAAGCTGTGCAATCCATATGGTCATCTTGTGACTCACATGGTCGTCGTTTCATACCAAGACAGAAGTTTATACATAAATGAAAATCACCAATCACGAAAAGCGTCCATTTTTCGCTGACCATTTGTTCACTTGTATATAGACACTCCAATCATTTTATAACATTTAGTCAAGCATGAGGGATATGTATGGTTATACATCTTGAGGTTTTGTTCTGATACAAGCATGAAAGACAAAGAAGAAAGCCGATAGAAGCATGAAAAATTCATTAATCTTGTTTACACAATAAAAAAATGTCGAATCTAGCCCATCATAAACGGAACACTGAACTAATGTTTAGGCTTTGAAATAATGTCAGAATTAACCAGATCCGATCATGTCCATATAGAAAGTAAATTAAGCTGTTCAAAATCACAGTTCCACTATTTTTTTGGTCAAATTCACTTCCACTTTCTAGTATTTTTTTATCCAAACGAAGATAACACGAATGTGTGTTTACAATCTAAGGGTTTCATTTTAAATTATGACTTGGATTATGGATAGTGAGACTTTGTCCTCATATTCCTATACGGCATAATCGCACATTTGGTTCTCATTGTCTCCATACTTATAATACTGTTTATTTTTTTAAGTATCAGTATCTTATACAAATCATAGTTGTATGTTTCTAAAATTATAAGTGTACAATAGATACTACGAAGAACATTCTCTATGGTGTCACATTGGTTGTAGTTGTAATTTTTAATGAGAAAGGAATAGTCAAAGAATCAATTAGAAAATTATATAACAATCACCTAATCACGTGAAGGGATAAGTTATAGATAAATTGAATCTGGCAACACTTTTTTGTGCTCAAATTAAAACGTAACATGCGCAAATATTTATATAGAGACAACGGTGAACGAATGGTTCAATTAAAAGTGTCGAACGCCAAGGTTGAAGAGGTGAAAGGGTATACTCCACTGAATAAATTATTATTACAGAATAATAAAACATGTAATAATGTACCCCAGAATTTCTTGGAGAAGAGGTGAAAGAGATGGTGACGAGAGAGAGAGTTGTAGTTAAGAGGGCAAATTGGACAATTTGATTTGGCAAAGTGCCTTCTCCTTTGAAAGTGCCTAAAGACACAAATAAGTTGAGGAAAGTGCCTAAATGTGCAATAATTCCTTTTTTTAACAGCATTATCGAATTTTATTTACAAGTTCTTAAATTACTTAAAAGCACCGAATTTAATATCCTCACGATATTTGGGCTTAATATTTTGGGCCTCTACCAATATGGGCCGACATATCTAATTATCTCGCCTCTAACAAAGACTCCAACAGTTTTAGAAAGCTACTGAGATATTTTCTCAGTAGAGAGAAGCTTGAACACACGAAGAAACCATGGCGGGAATCGATACACAGAAGCAGCTTCTCTCTCTGATCCGCGATTTCACCTCTGAAAGATCTCGTGGAGGTAAGATCTTCATACATTTTTGTTCGTTTTCTGGAGATTTCGTGACGAAGAAGAAATAGGAAGGTGTTTAAGCAGAAATTCGAAACAAAATCGAACACATTTTGAAGAAGATGATATGCATTTTGGTTATTTTGAGTTATAGGCGTTAGTTTTATGCGATTCGATCTTCATGTGGTTTTGATTGTTGGTGATTTTTTGAATTAAGAGCAAAGAGTTGTTGGATTGAAGAAGAGGATCGAGAGTTTGCAATCGGAAATCGAGGCAGCGAATTCAGAAGTTGAGAATGCGAAGCGTATCAAAGAAGTGGCGGAAGAGGAGCTTAATGGTTACGAAGTTGAATTGTCTTTGAACGATGCTACGATTCAATCTCTGGAGGTTTTGATTTTCTTTGATTTTACTTGGTTTTTGGGATGATTAACAAGTTTTGGATTGCCTAATCACGAATTGAACTGTGCTTTTTTACTTGATTTTTGGATGATTAAGAAGTTTAGGTAATGCTAGTTCTATATGGAGTGATTTGTATTGAAACTGTGCCTTTTTTTTTCAGGCAAGGATTAGTCTTCTTCAGGATGAAGTTTCTACTGTTGGCAGTGAAGTTGATGCTCTTAAGGTTTGGCTACACTTTGTTTATTTGAGTTTTTAGTGCTTATATATGGTTGGTTGATATCTTCGTTTGATATTCTGGAATTTTTGTTGATGACTTGATTGTTGGCGAAATTAAGAACAAGGAAGGATTTCTCAGGTGATTTTGATCTTTCTAACATCTTAATAAGGTCTAGTTCTTGACGTATACTCAGGTTATGTTTGTTAAATTGCTTATTCTTTTTTGTGGTATACAGAGATCAGTTTATAAGCCAAATGGAAGAACTGAACAAGGAGATAAGGTTATTTTCTATTCTTTGCGTTTTCATCTTATGATGTTGCTACACATCTTAAGTTGTTTGGTTGGTAATAGGGAGTTCCAGAGAACAGTAGATTTGACTTTGGCCAGTGATGATACTACTGGCATAACCGCAAGTGAGTAGCTAATGTTTGCAGTTTACTCTTCTTGTTCGATTTCTAACTGTTTATTAAGAGAGAATGGCTTCTGGATATGATTGTAATTGCAGATGTCAAAGCTTTTGAGGATGGTTCTGGAGCTGATTCAGAAGCTATCAAGGGAATGCTATCTGATTTATATTTTCAATTAGAAAAAGAGGAAGAAGGATACCTGGCTGAGCAGAAGATACAAGAACAGGTACTGGAATACCTTTTACCTTTTGTAAACTTTGCTACTCCAAATACCTTATGCTATTTTATCCATTCTCTTTTTAAGATTTTTGTTTAATCATTCTATGAGGAGAACAAATTGGGATTGATAATTCGGTGTTCCTATCTGTAGCTGCAGAAGGAGCTCGATGACTATGAGAAGAAAATGTCACTCATGGAGGCCATAACAGACAAAACGAATTCAGTGCAAGTTCTCGCTAGATATCCTTTAATCCCGTTAGCTGGTGAAGCATGATTTATAAACTGATAACTACGGTCGCATTAATCATTTATCACATTCACATCAACTAGTTCTGTTTTTTTATACGGCCTGCACTCTGCAGCCAGCCATTCTTTTGCTAGGATATAAAGCAAGTCAGTGCTTGTACCTTTCATTTTGATTTCCCATTCTTTCAAAAGAATAGTTTCCTTGACAGAAAACAAGCAGACTTCTGAGTTGGAACAGACATTGGCTTCGCTTGGGGAGGAGCTGCAAAAGAGATGCCGATGCCAACATTGCCAGGCAGAAAATTTGGAAGTCTTGAGCTTACTTCTTCAGGGAGATCAAGTATGTTGACCTTACAAACTATTTTTCTCATTTCTAAATAACTTTTTCGAACAGCCATCCAGATACTGGAACCAAAAACTTTTATATTCATATCTTATGGGCTTATATGGAATGTTGACAATGGTCTTATCATCTTCAGACGTTTTCCATTTCTCTAGTTTTTCTAAAACTTATTTGATATCTGTTAGTCTAAACCATATTACAGAAACCAATAAACTTTAACCAAAATCTCAAAGTTAAGATAGAAGGTATCTATCACATGTAGACCAACCAGGTTTCTCTTAGACAGGTTGAAGCAGACAGTCTCTAGTTTAGGCTCATGAAATAGACTTTTGAACTCTATTGATAATCCAATTTTTACTGATAATGCTTCGTAAACTGTATAGTCAAGAAAAGACACCATATATATATATATATATACATATATATATATATATATATATATATACATATATATATATATATATGTATATATATATATATATATGTATATGTTCTGCTTCATTTTAGCTGGAATTCTCATCCTAAAAGAATGTAGACATGTGTTTGAGTAGCTATGATTTCAAGAACCATACTCTGTATATGGGTAGCTTTCGAATTTTTGGCACTTCGACTTGTACATTTTTATCTATTAGTGAAGAGACCGGTGATGCTTAGAAAGGGTAGTATCTGTCAACAATCAACATGACTAGATTGTACTGTCAAAAAATTCTGATTACAGTAGACTAAGCTTTTCGTTTTATTTGATTTTTTTTTCCTGTAAGCTTTTCATGTTATTCATTTTGCAGGATATGGAGGTGTCTTAGTTAAAAGCCAATCTTGCTTGAGGGAAGATTGATTTACTCAGGGTCTGAAAGATGGTAAGCATATACTTTCACCTCTCAAGATCTAAGAAACAGACTTGTCTAGAAATTTTTACTAAAATAGGAATGATGAAGCAAACAACAGTAGTCCCTAGTATCTATAACACTGATCATGTTCACCGGTTTTAAAAGTACTACCAATGAGCTAATTGTTTCTTTACATTAACATCTAACAAATCTAACAACAACTCAACTGATAGTGTACATATCAGCCACGTTCTTTAGATTCAACAACTCATATAGTGCCAATGCAAGACTTCCAAAACGAGAACTGATACGGTTTAGTGTTTTATGTTTGGTTTCTCTTTAGCATTAAGGCAATTAAGTAATTTCCTTTTTAAAATAGAATAAGGTTTTGGTTTTACTTTTTAAAGAGCTTGTACGGGTCTTATATAAAGACCTCTTTTGATTAATAAGAATTCTGAACTTCCAAGAATTAACCTTAATCTCCAAGAGAGCTTAGGGTTAAGAGAGCTTAGGGTTAAGAGGAAGCTAGCTTTAAATCTCTTTGTTCTTTAAGCTTAAGCAACGGGTCCGATAACAAGAGCTAAGGCTAAGGCTTTGGTTCATATCAAGAACTTCCTTTTTACATTTCTAAGTCCTTGAAACACATTCCAAGATTCAATATAGCTCGGATAGGAACCTCTGCAAGCTAATTGGAACACTTCCTTCGGGCCGCTGTTGTATGCTACCATCGATCGATCAAGTCAGTCCCCTTTTTCTCGTGATAATTCCTTATATCTTTTTATTAGCATGGAACCAATATCAATTTAGCTCGGCAATGTGTTTAACTCATACCAACTTTTAATAGTCAATTACATTACTTTTTTTCACTCAAGTATGACACAGATCAGTAACTGTTACCTTTTTTATATGTCACTAGCTTCCCTAAAGTATACTGGCTACAATAATTAAACTTTCACTGAAAGAATACATGAAATGTGACTCATGTTTTAGACTTCGTGTATTCAACAGAGAGTTTTTTGGAGACTGACCAATGAGAAATAAGAGCCCGTGAGACCCTTTTCCAAAAGAGAAGAATGTGTCCCACATTCGACTACTTTCCCGTTTTCTAAAACAGCAATCGTGTCGCAGTTCTGGATTGTGCTAAGCCTATGTGCGATCACAACGCTTGTCCTCCCAACCATCAAACGCTCGAGCGCGTCCTGCACCATGCGCTCTGATTGGCTGTCCAAAGCGCTTGTAGCTTCGTCGAGGAGCAGCACCGATGGGTTTTTTAAAACTGCTCGAGCGATCGCGATCCTCTGTTTTTGACCACCAGACAATTGTACTCCTCTGTCTCCACAATTTGTGTCATAACCGTCTGCTAATGATGTGATGAAATCGTGAGCGTTCGCTGCCTTAGCCGCCTGGATAATCTCCGACTCATCGATCTTGTCTGATACTCCTCCAAACATGATGTTCTCTCGGATTGTCCCGGTGAATAACGTTGGCTCTTGGCTAACCAAACCTATGTGTTGACGAAGTGATCTCAGGTGAAACGACCTTATATCATGTCCATCAATTTGCACAATACCCTTTAGCGGGTCATAAAACCGCTCGATCAAGCTAATTATTGTGGATTTACCTGACCCGCTTGGACCCACGATCGCTGTTGACTTCCCCTCGTTGATCTCAATGGAGAAGTCCTTGAATATTGTCACATCAGGTCGTGTGGGGTATGCAAAGTCCACATTGAGAAATCTAATTTGCCCTTTTATATTTTTTGGGAGGTATCCATTCGGATTCTCTGGCTCAATTCTTGTGGAACGATCTAACACTGCAAACACTGACTGAACTGCATTCGAGCCCTTTGCTAGATCTGTCGTCATGGTCCCAGCATCAGCAATAACCCGACTTGTAGTCTTAAAGATCAAAAATAGCTCAAAAAATGCTTTTGATACCATCTTCCCATCAGCAATCATTTTACCACCGTACCAGAAATTCAAAGCCGAAGTGCATGTTATGAGGCTTCGTGAAGTCCCCAGTGCAATCCCTGCTAACCATGATTGGTGGATGCTTTCTTGCCGAGGACCCTCTTGTACCTTTTTAAGCAGTTTTATGATTCGTTCTTGTGAAGAGAATGTTATGATGGTTCGTATGTTAGACACAGCCTCTGCAGCTAGTTTGCTACTTTCATCTTGAGCTTTGATGGCCTTTTTCGACATGCTCTTGAGCAGAACACGTTGCGTGTAGAAGCACACAACAATCATTGGTTGCACCGAAATCATCACGATGCTGAATCGCCAAGCGATGACCAAACCAATTGTGCAAGCTATGCTCACTGCTGATATGGTATGTATCAACAATGACATTCGTTCACCAACCAGCGATCTCACCTTTCATAAAAAAGAATTTCAAATTAAGAAATGGTAAAATTATTCTTCATTAGAATTGAAATTAATAAGCTCGAAGACATACCATGTTAGCATCTTTTGCTAGTCTTGAGCAAATTGCCCCACTCGAGTTCTCATCTTCATCAAACCAATTGACTTCAAACGTCAATATCTTTGAGAGCATTTGTTCTCGAATACGTTTTGTTAAGTATTCGCCCATGTAGGCAAAACTGTAATGTTGAATGATATTGACCCAAAAAGTGTATAGAGCTAGACCAACAAATAACATCACATAGATCTTTGTTTTCTCGTTGATCTCGTCGTTGCTTGTTAGGAAAAACATTGACACCATTGATCCTGAAAAATATGCGTAAATTGGTTGTACAGCCCCATATAAGGCTGCACTTAAGCAACCATATAATGCATGTTTCCATTCTGGTCTATTCCTTGCCATTAATCTGTTAAATGATGGGATAAGCGGCTTCTTATCCTTAGAAATCAAATCAGTATGATATGTATCAATGCCTGAACTCGTGCTTTGAACAGAGTCTCTTGGATTATAGTTCAAGTCATTGTTCAAAGTACTTGAGAGTTGATCCTCGTTCACATTTATGCTGTCTGATTCTTCATTTTCCATCTGTTGTAAGCGGACTAGAGAAGTGTATCTACCATCTAACCTCTCCATGAGCTCTTTGTGCGATCCTGTTTCTACAATGCAACCATCGTGGATTACACATATAACATCAGCATTACGAATGGTTGAGAGACGGTGGGCTATAACAATAGTTGTACGACCAACAGAGGCATTGTTTATGGCTTCTTGGACTACCCTTTCAGACTCCGAGTCTAATGCGCTTGTTGCCTCGTCGAGAAGAAGAATTTTTGGTGACTTGATTATTGCACGTGCGATTGCGATCCTCTGCTTTTGTCCTCCCGAAATTTGAACTCCTTTCTCCCCAACCTTTTTTTGTTTGCACGAAAACCAAATATACGTCATGAACATCAAACTATTAGAAAAAGAAGAGCCATATTAAATGTGAATTTAACCTGAGTTTTGTAACCAAGAGGGAACTGGGAAATGAAATCATGAGCATTTGAGGACTTTGCAGCTTCCATTATTTCATCCATGGATGCGTCCTCTTTACCAAATAATATGTTCTCCTCTATTGATGTGGCGAAGAGCGCGGGCTCTTGGCTAACATGACCCATTTGTGATCTCAGCCACTTCACTTGCAACTTGCTAATGGACACACCATCAATGAGAATCTCTCCTGCGATTGGGTCATATAACCTCTGTAAAAGCGATATCACAGTTGATTTTCCCGATCCACTTCCACCCACCAGAGCCACGGTTTTCCCACATGGAATTCTTAGACACAAATTGTCAAAGATTGGGGTTTTGGGTCTAGACGGGTAGGTGAACCTCACATTTTTGAATTCGACTTCTCCTCTAATTATCTCTAGAATCTGGCCTTCTAAAGTGTCTGAATCAATAACAGCGACTCTTTTCATAACTTTCATAATCCGTTCTCCTGCTACAAATGCTTCTGATAGATATTTGATATTCGATAAACCTCGACCAAGTGTTCTGAAAAAAGTAAAATCCCAAAGATCAAGATTACATAGGTGATGCATAGAAAACCAAAGAGCCTTGAATATAGTTACTTACGCGCCGCCATAGGTGAGGCAGACAATGACTGCATAGATAGTACCGCCTTTGGAGCCATGTTTCATAACCATCTGACTTCCGTACCAAGTCATGAACCCCCGGATAGCATAAGTGATACCATTGCTCCCAATGGCGATTCCTTTAACCAGCCCTTGTCTTACCCCTAACTTTACTGACTGTTGAAGTGCAGTTGAGAACTTTGCTAGTATCTTCTTCTCACTACTAAATGCGTAGACGGTTCGAACCGATGACATGGCCTGCTCAGCTATTGAACCAGCCTCATCGTACTCCTTGCGTATCTTCCTTGAGATGTTGATGAGTGCTCGTCCGTACATTAGTCCAGGGATCACGAGGAGGACGATAAAAGGGAAACCTACGAGTGCCATTCTCCATAACAAGATGAAACCTACTATGTAGCTTGCACAAAACGCAGATGCATTCATCAAAAAGTTCGGTAACTGCATGAAATAATCAAGAACCGGTTTACAAACAAGAAACATGATTAAAAGTTAAAACGCTAGATAAGGACAAACGTTGGACCTTTTCACTAATGACGTCTTGAATGACGAGACTGTCACATGAGACACTAGTAACAACATCAGAAGTGCTTGTGACATGAAGATCAAAGTAACTCACATCTTGGCTTAACACTGCTCTTAAGTAGTTCTCTCTCATTCTTGCCGCTTGTCTCTCCCCTGTTCTTGTCCAGCAATATCCTTCTGTTTTTGAGATGTTTAATATTAAACAAAACTTAGTTATATTTGAATGCACCAAATTGATGTTTTTTGGGGATAACAAACAGAAAGAAACATGGTCTATAAAGACTTACCAAGGAAACATACAACCCAAGAAGCACAAGCGACATACAGCAAAGCTATAGAATTCTGTTGATTACCCAATATAATGTACATAAAAAAAGAAAGCTCCATTAGTTCTCTTTCCTTATACTCTCAACGGTTGTGGCCGTTCATGTTAAATGTGGTTCATTCTCAAAACAAATTGACGATTAGTGGATCTTATATATTCTATTAGGTTCTTACACTTATTGTCATTCCTAACATATATGCTCATAAGTCATAAACTGAATCAGAAAACGATAAAAAGGTTAAGTATCACAACAATTTTGGAGTTTGGTCTACTTTGTGTACTTTACAGAGAATAGATACCATATTCAGGAGAAAAAAAAAAGAGCAAAGAAGAGAGAAGAAAAACCTTGGAGACGGCTTGCATGAACGTTTTATCATTGAAAGAGGAACCACCCAGGTCGTTCAGTAGCATGCTGGAGATAAAAAATACAATAGGAGTTATGAAGCCATCACCAACTGCTCCAATCAACCCTAGTGCCATCAACATCCAATCTACACCGACACCGTCCGCGTGCATGAATATCGATCTTATGCTTCCGGAACTCTTTATATTCATCTTCTTCCTCTAGCTCTCCTCTCCCTTTCTGTTTCAGAGAAAAGACCAATACGAAATAACAGCTCTTAGTGTTATTTTTTTATGTCTCTTGATCGTTTAATATACCAATCAAGACAGGAGGAGACCGTTGACCTTTTAATAAATACTGTATATTGAAGTTTGATTGTTACAACGTGTTTTATACAATGAAATACATTTTTTTTTGTCAACCACACATTAATTAATAAATAATTCTTTGATTGGTTGTCCAATTAGAAGGAGAAGAGTCTACAAAAGTAACATCAGAAAATAAAAGTCTAGAAGAACGGGCTAAACAGTCCGCTTTAACATTACATAAGCGAAAAGAAGAGAAAAAAGGCACAGAGTAAACCAAACTCATCCAGCTGATTTGAGAAAGCAGGCCATTCTTCAAGTGACTGTATCATCGAGACTAATTCCGAACAATCTGTTTCAAACACCTGACAATCGATCCTTCTTGAAAGGATATTCTTCATAGCCCAAATTAAAGCTTCCATCTCCAAATGAAGGGGGAGGGACATCTCCTAAGGCACTTTGCACCGTGCAGTATCATTTGATCGATTCCTTGAAAACACCACCATCCTATACCCATAGTTGGATCCGAATATTTCCAAGATCCATCAATTCGACATCTTATTGATTGAACTGGGCTTTCCAAAGTTTCCATAATAGAACTAATTTCGACCGTTCCTTATTTTAATTATTTCTTCACGTCATTTCTCCTTCAATTTAGAGATACATTTTTTCTTTTTTTGGCTTCGTATCTCAAAGATCCGGTCAGTATTAAATAATATGTTGATGATATACTGCAATATATTATTTTTGAAGATTTGATAGATAGTGTACAATGCAAATCAAGTATTGCAGTCTATTATTTTAAATTTAATTGTAGTATTATTTTAAAGTAATAGAGTGCAATACATGATTTGCATTGTACACTCTCTATCAAATCTTCAAAAATAATAGACTGCAATACGTGATTTGCATTTGCAAATTTAAAAAATGTTTCTTTTTGAGTATCATTTTTAAAAAATTGCCTTTTTCTAAACTCTTATAAAAATGCTTTTAGAAGCCTAAGATCTATCCAAATACGTATGTGGTTTTTATAAAAACATCTTAAAAATATCTTTATACGTGTGTAAAACATTATATATACTTTATAATTATATTGTAAGACTTTATAGTCTACGAGTAGTAGTGACCATCGAGAAATACATTATAAACTTTATAAAGATTTATAAACTTTTCAAATTTATACCTTTTTATATAATTGAAATACTTTATCTAAATTGTTTCTTCACGTTACTTTTCTGTTTAAATTTAGAGATACATGTTTTATTTTTGTGCTCCGTATCTCAAAGATCCGGTCTATATTAAATAATATATTGATGATATGTTGTAATATATTATTTTAAAAGATTTTGAAGAATTGATAGATAGTGTACAATACAAATCACGTACTAAAAAATGTGTAATAAATTGCAGTCTATTATTTTAATTGTAGTAATATGATGATGATAAAAACTACAATTAAAATAAATGCAGTCTATTATTTTAATTGTAGTAATATGATGGTGACCAACAACTACAAAAATAATAGACTTCAATTTATCAGACATTTTTCCTAATACGTGAATTGCATTGTATACTATCTATCAAATCTTCAAAATCTTTTAAAATAATAGATAGCAATATATCATTAATATATTATTTAATATTTATAATGATTCTTCCGGAAAGTTTAAAAAATGTTCTTTTCAAATACCACTTTTCAAAAATGCCCATTTTCTAAAATCTTATTAAAATGCCCCTAAAAACCTAAGTTATATCCAACTATGTATGTAATCTTTATGAAAACATATAAACTATCTTTATACGTATGTAATACATTATATATACCTTATAAATATATTTTAAAACTTTATAAACTCAAATTGAGTCTCCGACTAGTAGTTACCATAGCATCTCCAATGGTGAGAGCCCTCCATGGGCTCTCACAATTTTTTTAAGAATAAAATTTTCAAATTTATGAGATGAGAACTTTTGTTAAATTTTTTTAATTTTGCAAAGTCCAATGGTAGGATCTCTTTGTGGGGTTCTCAGGAAAAAATTAAATTATTTTTTAATTATTTTATTTCATAAAACTGAAAAATGTTACAATTCATAACATATTAAACATACAATAATTTCATACATTTGAAAATAAATTTGCAAAAAAAAAAATGATTAGTTATTCTGTTGATTGTTGCGAAATTTTCTCCATAGATGCTCTTACCAATTACGATCCAAGCTGAATCGATTACTCTCCATCCATTGAATTTGGATCTCGGTTCGGTTCCGGATCGGTTCCGATTCTTTTGGTTATGAAGTTTAGGATCCATTTAGATATTTTTTTAAGATATTTTTAGGTATTTTTAGATATTTTTGGGTATTTTCGGATATTTTTGAGTATTTTTGGATATTTTAAGTATTTTTTGATATATTTTCCAAATATTTGTTGGTATTTCGGGTATTTTAAGCTATTCGATATAAAAATAACTAATATTTTCTGATATAAACTCATATTTTGGATATTTTCGGGTACCCGAAATATTTCGGTTCGGTTCGGTTCCGGTTCTGGTTCTTTTGGTTCTAAAATTTAGGATCCATTTGAGTATTTTAAAATTTCGGTTCGGTTCCGATTCGGTTCCGGTTCGGTTCTTTTTGTTTCGGTTCTGGTTCGGTTCTTTTTCCTTGTTTTATCTAAAAATCGACCAATGGTATAACGCCACGTCATCGTCTCTCTTGCATCTCAAAAGCTCTCACAAGAGAGCTGTCTCTCTTCTTATAACATGTTTTGATTTATTTTTGAAATTATTTTTCATGAGAACCATATGAGAGAACCCAATATATGTTTAATTTGTCATCTTAAAATAATATTCTTTAAATTCTATAGTTAATTATTTGTAGGCGAGAAATTTCATTTTTGTTTACTATATAATTGCTAAATTAATTATATATTAAAAAGGTCAGAGTAGTATAAACTGATTTTCTGACCAAAGAAAACAAATAGCTTATTGATTTTTGTTTTATACAATCTTAATTAAATCAGGCTAATTTTATATGTCTAATATTGGTGGTATTAAAAATAATAAAATGAAAATTTAATCCGTATTCAAGCGGCGGGTTAATGATATTTTAAAATTTTATTAACGGTGATTCAAATTTGTCCCGCAATATAACCTTGTCCCACAATATAACACGTCCCATGTTATTTAAAAAATTTTATATGTTCAAATATTCATAATATTATAAACTTTTATTGATTTAAAATATATTAATTATAATATCCAAAACTTTTTAAAAGCTTAAAATTTACAACATACGATAAAAATAAACATTTTAACTAAAAAAACCGAATTAAACCGTATAAAAACTTTTAAATTTGGATGCTTATTATGTTAAAGTTCGTTCTCTTTCGGATTTGAATTCATTTTGTTCTTATTTATAATATGATTCTGAATCATTGTCAAAACATTTTAGCCAATATGGGACGTTGACCACACATTTTTTTCATTAATTGCGTAATATATGTCCGTATTTAAAATTTTGAATCACAATATATGAAATTTTCTTTTTTGAGATCTTTATAAACTTTATTTATTATATGATGATTCAAAACGATTAAAAAAAAAAAGAATCACAATTTTAAATCTTAACCAAATGTTCTAAATATCTATATTATTAATTGTGAAATATTATATGAAATTTTTTATTTTATAATTAATGTTAAAAATCTTTTACTTAATGAAAAGTGTGTTTTCGTATCTATATTTTTACAAATAAAGTCTAAACATCTTTATCTTAAACTATTAAATATAAATGTTTTACAAAATCATACTATTTCAATTGTATAATACATAATCATAAAATTTTAAAAACTCATGATTTAAAAAATAAATAAATCGTCCCGCCGTTCAATCCCTACTACTTTTTATAAGAGCAACGAGTTATTGGATGGAAGAAGATGATCAAATCGAAGCAGCGAATTCAGATGTTGAGCATGCGAAGCGTATCAAAGAATTGGCAGAAGAAGAGATTAATGGTTACAAAGTTGAATTCTCTCTGAACGATGCCAAGATTCAATCTCTAGAGGTTTTAATTTTCTTTGATTTTACATGGTTTTTGGGATGATTAAGAAATTTTGGTGCCTAATGAGATTAATCTCAGGCAAGGATTAGTGTTATTCAGAATGAAGATTGGCAAGCAAAAAATTTGGAAGTCTTGAGCTTACTTCTTCAGGGAGATCAAATGTTTACCCTTACAAACTATTTTTCTCATCTCTATATAACATTTTCGAAATGCCATGAAATTACTGGAACCAAATGCATTAACATTCTTATGTTATGGGCTTATATGGAACATATAGTCTGATGTATCCGTGTACAAATACAAAAACCAATAAACCTTAACCAAAATCTCAAGAGTTAATAGAAAGCGTCAATCACATATAGACCTACCAGATTTCTTTTAGACAGGTTGAAGCAAGCTAGTCTCTAGTTCAGGCTCATATATAGACTTTTGTAGTTTTATTGACCGTATAGTCAGGAAAAGACATCATATACGGTTCTGCTCTAGTTTACGTTTACATGGTAACATGCTTCATGATCATACCAAAAAAAAAAACATGCTTCATGTTTTAGGCGGAGATAGTGAGAGGAGCGTGAGACAGATATTAATTTATAGTATATCTAACCTTTGCTGCCTTTGCTGCCTCGATAATCTCTGACTCGTCGATTTTGTCAGATGCTTGTCCGTACATTATGTTTTCTCGGATTGTCCCAGCGAATAACGTTGGTTCTTGACTTACCAAAGCTATGTGTTGACGAAGCGATCTTAGATGATACGACCTTATATCACGGCCATCGATTTTCACAACACCTTTTAACGGGTCATAAAACCGTTCGATCAACCCGATTACCGTGGATTTACCTGACCCACTTGGACCTACTATCGCTGTCGACTTGCCCTCGTGGATCTCAATGGACAAGTTGTTGAATATAATCACATCCGGGCGTGTTGGATAAGCGAAGTCCACGTTGAAAAATGTGATGTTCCCTTTTATTTTTTCCAAGATGTATCCATTTGGATTCTCTGGCTCAATTAATGTGAAACGATCTAACACTCTGAATACTGAGTCAACTGCAATTGAGCCCTTGGCTAGATCTGTCGTCATTGTCCCAGCTTCGGCAATAGCCCGACCCGTAGTCTTAAAGATCAAAAATAACTCAAAGAATGCTTTTGACACCATTTTCCCATCAGCGATTAGTTTACCACCATACCAAAAATTCAAAGCTGAGGTGCACGTTATAAGGCTTTGCGTAGTCCCCAACATAATCCCTGCTAACCATGATTGGCGGGCGCTTTCTCTTCGAGGACCTTCTTGAACTCTCTCGAGTAATTTCATGGTCCGTTCTTGTGATGAGAAGGTTGTGATGGTTCGGATGTTAGAGACAGCCTCAGCAGCTAATTTACTGCTTTCATCTTGAGCAATGATGGCTTTTTTCGACATGTTCTTGAGCAGAACACGTTGAATATAATAGCAGACAACAATCACTGGTTGTATAGAAATCATCACAATGGTGTATCGCCAAGCGATGACCAAACCAATTGTGCAAGCTATGCTTACTGTTGATATGGTTTGTACCAACAATGACATTCGTTCACCAACCAATGACCTCACCTATCATAACAAATCATTTCAAGATCAAGATATAAAAATATTGCTCATTGAAGTTCAAATTAATAAGGCGGAAGACATGTACATACGACGTTAGCATCTTTCGCTAGTCTCGAGCAAATTGCACCACTTGAATTCTCTTCCTCGTCGAACCAATTGACTTCAAACGTCAGTATTTTCGAGAGCATTTGTTCTCGGATACGTTTAGTCAGGTATTCTCCCATGTAGGAAAAGCTATATTGTTGACTGATACTGATCAAAAAAGTGAATAGAGCTAGACCAAAAAATACTAACACATAAATTCTTGTGTTCTCTTTGATCTGTTCATGGCTCGTTAGGAAAAATACCGATATCATGAACCCTGATGAATATGCATAAATTGGTTGTATGACCCCATTGAGAGATGCACTTAAGCAACCATATAATGCATGTTTCCACTCTGGTTTATTCATTGTCATCAATCTGTTAAACGATGGAACAAGCGGCTTCTTATCCTTAGGAACCACGTCAGAAAGATTTGTAACAATGCTGGAACTCGATTCTCTATGGTTATACTCCAAATCTTTGTTTAAACTCGAGACTCGACTCTCTTTCACACCTACGCTGATGTAAGCATTTGTTTCTTGATTCTTCGCTTGTTCTATGCGGACAAGAGAAGTGTATTGACCATCTAATTTCTCTATGAGCTTGTCGTGCGATCCACTTTCTACAATGCGACCATTAGAGACAACACATATAACATCAGCATTACGAATGGTAGAGAGGCGGTGAGCAATAACAATAGTTGTACGTCCAACTGAGGCATTGTCTAAGGCTTCTTGGACTACCCTTTCAGATTCAGAGTCCAATGCGCTTGTCGCCTCGTCTAGAAGGAGAAGTGTGGGTGACTTGATTATCGCACGTGCAATTGCGATCCTTTGCTTCTGACCCCCAGACATTTGCATTCCTCTCTCTCCAACCTTTGTATGTAAAATAAAAAGGAACATCCAAATAAATATATGTCTTAATCCAACTATAAAAAATACAATATCAATTTGTTAAAATATGAATCTTACCTGAGTTTTATAACCATGAGGGAACTGAGAAATGAAATTATGAGCATTTGAGGCCTTTGCAGCTTCCATTACATCATCGATAGATGCGTCCTCTTTACCAAATAATATGTTCTCCTCTATCGATGTGGCGAAGAGCACTGGCTCTTGGCTAACCAGACCCATTTGTGATCTCAACCATTTCACTTGCAACTTATTAATGGATACACCATCAATGAGAATATCTCCCGCGATTGGATCGTAGAATCTTTGTAGAAGAGATATCACGGTTGATTTTCCCGATCCGCTTCTGCCTACCAAAGCCACAGTTTTCCCACATGGAATTTTCAAACACAAATCATCAAAGATTGGAGTTTCGGGTCTAGACGGGTAGTTGAACTTCACATGGTTGAATTCGACATCTCCTCTTATACTTTCCAAAATCTGACCATTCAAGTTGTCTGAATCTATATCGGGGACTCTTTTTATCACTTTGATAATACGTTCCCCTGCCACAAACGCCTCTGAGAAATATTTGAGATTCGACAAAGCTTGACCAAGTGCTCTGCTTAATGTAAAATACTAAATATCAAAACTACGAGATGGTTTGTTTTGTGATAGAAAATACCAAGAGCCTTAAAACAGAATTACTTACGTGCCACCAAAGGTAACGCAAACTGTGACGGTGGAGACAGTACCGCCTTTGGAGCCGTTGGTCATAACCATCCGACTTCCGTACCAAGTCATGAACCCCCAAATAGCATAAGTTACACCAGTGCTCCCAATGGTAATTCCTTTAGCTATCCCTTGTCTCAACCCTAGCTTCACCGACCCTTGAAGCGCATTTGAGAACTTTAGTAACATTTTCTTCTCACTACCAAATGCGTACACAGTTCGAACCGACGAGATGGCTTGTTCGGCGAAAGAACCAGCTTCATTGTACTCCTCACGTATCTTCCTCGAGATGCCAATGAGGGCTCGTCCGTACATTAGTCCAGGGATCAAGAGGAGAATAATGAATGGGAAGCCTACAATTGTAAGTTTCCACAACAAAATGAAGCCCACTATGTAGCAGCCGACAAACGCAGACGCATTCATCAAAAAGTTTGGTAACTGCTTGAAATAAAAATCATCAAAAAACTTATTTAAAAACAAGAAACAAGATCAATGTGATAGATAAAAGACGAGACCTTTTCACTGAGGAAGTCTTGAATAACTAGGCTGTCACTAGAGACACTAGTGATAACATCAGAAGTGCTTGTGACATGAACATCAAAGTAACCCACATCTTGTCTTAACACTGCCCTTAAGTACTTTTCTCTCATTCTTGATGTTTGTCTCTCCCCTGTTCTTGTCCAACAATATCCTTCTGTTTTACATATTAAACCCATCCACAAAATACAAAAATTAGTTATATGAATATTAATTTGGTAAAATATGTTTAAAGAAACATGATCTATAAAGACTTACCAAGGAAACATATTACCCAAGATGCACAAGCCACATAAAGCATAGCTAAAGCATTCTGTTAATTACCCAATTTGCAAAAACAAGGATGACACATTAGTATTCTCAACGGTTGTGGCATTTAATACAAGTTCGCGGCCGTCTTAAAACTATGGAATACTTAACCTAACATAGATATATGGTCATAAGGTAAGTGAGAAAAAGAGGTGAAGTATATATCAAGCTATGTATGGTCTACTTTGTCATATCTACTTACGGAGAATAGAAACCAAAAACAGAAAACAAATAATTTGAGAAAAGTAGAGAGAGCAAAAGAGCTTGGAGATGGTTTGCACGAAGGTTTCATCTTTGAAAGAGGAAACACTTGGATATATTAGTACTTTTTCCTATCTATATAAGTCTAGTTTTGATTTTTTTTGTTAAGGTTAATTTTCTTGGCTAAGATTTGTACAAGTTTCTGTCTAAGAACATCTCCAACCCACCTCTATATTTGCCTCTAACTCTATTTTAGAGACAAATTTGCTCCAACCCACCTCTATTTTCACCTCTAAAATAGAGATCTCTATTTTTTTCTCTATATATAGAGGTGAGAATAGATAATCTCTATTTTTTCCTCTATAAATAGAACTTTTTAGAGAAAAAAATAGAAGAACACATTGGAGTAAAAATAGAGAAAACTTACCTCTATTATAGGGATAGAATTAAAAATAGGGAAATACATTGGAGATGGTCTAACTTCCTTCCAAGGGAGATTCTAACTAAATATCTTAATTAAGAAACGCGATGTTTGAACAATCTTAGAAAACATCAATAGACTGCGAACCACTTGTTATGTCAACTCACTTAAATATTAAAATTTTATCATTTATTTAAAATTAACTTTCTTTTCCTTATATTTCAGTTCAACTTCTTTTTTTAATAATAGGCACCAACTAATTTATTGTATTTCAGCACAATTATGAAAAACAAGATTGCAAATATTTATATTTAAACTTCTTTTTTTAATAATAGGCACCAACTAATTTATTGTATTTCAGCACAATTATGAAAAACAAGATTGCAAATATTTATATTTAAGTTGGCTATTGTGAACTAGCAAAAATATACGCTCTCGATCAATTTCACAAAAACATCGTTTTATACATCATTTTTTGTTTTATAGTATTCTATAATTTTAATGTAACTTTTGTAAGTTTCCAAATCTGCCCCTTATCAAGCTAACAACCTTTGTATTTGATTTAATATAAGGGAGACTCACAAAAATGCCCCTTTTTCAATACCCCTTTTCAAAAATGTCCCTTTTGGCTGTCCATTTTTAAAAATACCCCTTTTTATGTACAAAATGACTAAATTACCCTTCTTTTAATATAAAATATCACAAATATATAAGGAAATATAACAAAATTAGGTCCACAAAATACAAAATATTTTTTGGCGGGAAAATTGATCCCGCAATTTTTCCCGCCAAAACACTTGTAAAAACTTTAAAATACCTTGTAAAATTTTCCCGAAAAATTTTTTCCCGCCAAAAAATTTTCCCGCCAAAAATTTTTTTTTGCGGGAAAAATGATTCCGCAATTTTTTTGGCGTTAAATTTTCCCGCCAAAAATTTACAAGGTATTTTAAAGGTTTTTTACAGGGTATTTATAAGGTATTACAATGTATTTTAAAAGGTTTTACAACGTATTTATAAGGTATTTATAAGATATTATAAGATTTTACAAGCTATTTTAAAAGGTTTTACAAGTTATAAGGTTTTACAAGTTTTTTATAAGGTTTTACAAGTTATAAATACCTTATAAAACCTTATAAGTACCTTGTAAAACCTTTTAAAATACATTGTAAATCCTTACAAAAACACTTGTAAATACTCTGTAAAACCTTTAAAATACCTTGCAAATTTTTCCCGCCAAAAAAATTTCGCCAAAAAAATTGCGGAATCATTTTTCCCGCAAAAAAAATTTTTTGGCGGGAAAAATTTTTATGGGAAAATTTTACAAGGTATTTTAAAGGTTTTTACAAGTGTTTTGGCGGGAAAATTGCGGGATCACTTTTCCCGCCAAAAAATATTTTGTATTTTGTGGACCTAATTTTGTTTCAAATAAGGGTAAAATGGTCATTAAAAATTAAAAGAGGGCAAACTTAAAAATGGACCCTCAAAGGGGGCATTTTTGAAAAGGGGTATTGAAAAAGGGGCATTTTTAACAATTTCTCTTAATATAATTCAATTAGTAGTAGATTAAAGATAGGTGTATTTGTATATTTAAATAATTTCAAAATGATACTCTTTATGAAATGAAGTGTATAATTTGTTTATAGGTTTTAGAAATAACACTAGCTTTTTTAGTTATAAAATATTATATTCATTGCATATGCTCTGGAAAATGAACTTAAATATTTGAATTTATATTTTAATGAAATAAAAAATAACTATAGAAATTTATAAATTTAAATAAAAAATACGAATAATTATTTAAATTTGTATTATGAGCTCGGGAAAAATACGAATAATTAAGCTATATATGAGAGAGAGATAGAGAGAGACCTTGGAAATAGCTTGCATGAAGGTTTCATCGTTGAAAGAGAAACTACCAAGGTCGTTCAGCAGCATGGCTGTGATGAAAAATAGAATAGGCATGATGAAGCCATCACCAACAGCACCGATGAACCCTAATCCCATCAACATCCAATCCACACCATCGGCATGCATGAATATCGATCTTATGCTTCCCCACCTCTTCATCTTCTTCTCTCTTTTCTTTTAGATTTGTATGTTTCTTTCAAGAGTTATGTTATTTATTCTATACAGTAGCTGAGACAGAGGGATGCCATTTGATATATCATATTATTTGTTAAACCATGTGTTTTATACCATGAAATACTTAATTTAATTAGGTAAAACTTATACAGCTCCTCGTGGGCCAGGGTTATAATGGCCTAGCTAACAAAAATATAAAAAATATTAAATGAGGTCAAGGTTTTTAAGGTAGTAAATTAGTTGCAAAGTAGAATTTGTGTATGAACTTGGTATTCTTTCATGTTTCAAAGTTTTGTTGAGAAACTTGGTATTTTTTCATTCACAGGCACTATCTTTTCACTAAAGAAAAAAACTTTGCTCTATCTTTTCTCTCTTTAAACGGCTAACCCTATCAAGTTTCTCAACAACGCTTTTTATATATTTTTTTTGCTACGCATGTAAATATCATTAGAATGAATAATCAGGTTTTACAGATTAGTTAAACCTATAGAATTGAGACCTTGGCAAAAAAGAATAAAAACAAGGTGTTCAACCCTTTTTATATTCATAGGGTTGAGAACTTTCTAGATTAGTGGTTTGGATCCTGGATCTCTCCATATCTTCTTGTGGATATATTTGTTCCTAACTAGCTAACTCCATTCCTCGTGCTCTCTACGTCATGTCTTCAGTTAGCGCCAAAGTCCATATCAGCTGATTTTCTTGCTAATTACTCCTTAAGTCTGGAACAGCTTCCAGCTTATTCCAACAAGCTTTGTGCATCTTTTAAACCGAAGTAAAGTATGCACTTAAAATTTCGAATATCATTTTTCGTGGCATAAATTGTCAAGATTTTGAGACAGGCCATGTAGATCAGCTGATTTTGTAATAGTGTCTTGAAGATAAGTCCCTTTTTCTCGAAAATTATTGTATAGTCTTCTCTTGATGAGTAGTCATATTTCTCTCTTATTTAGACAATCACTCTAGGAGAGTTGTTTTAAGTTAAATGTTTGATTGAAAATAGTAAATCACTAATCACTAATCTCTTTGGCTTATAATTTTAGAAAATGCTCCTTCCTTTAAAGATTCCATGTTGGCCACCCAAGAAGATGGTAAAAGCGGATCCATAGTGAAACAACAAACAAAGAAAGATACATTATGAAAGTGACATATTTATAATCAAATGCTTAGTCACTACTGTTATGTTTATAACCTATGATTTCCACCACCAAGTATGATTTATACTAAGAAATTTGTGGTTCAGATTTTATTAAGACTTGATTTTATTAAGTAATCAATAGAAAAGTACATACTCAAAAAAAGTTAGAATGATGAAGTTAGAGATAAGGCCCACTATTAAAGAGATAGATGCAATATAAATTACGTATGGTTAACTATTTCCTCATTCACCACATCTTAGATAAGTTATGTCATTTATTTTATTATTTATCGTTTAAAATGTTTATGTAACGTCTCGAGTCGACCGACAAAGTCTTTAAAACATGTAAAAATATAGAGAAACCTAAAAGTCTTTAAACACCTTTCTCACTTGGATTGAAAAGTTGGGGATTGATATAGTTACATAGGGATTGATATAGTTACATATCCGCCACTGTATATAGTTCGACTAAAAAGTGGATTTATACTAAGAAATCGTTGGAAGAAATATAACTTACTATTATCACTAACAGCTTGGGCAAAAGATGTCCACCAGATCATAAGAGATGTTAGTTAATGGACATATGTATTAGATTGATACCCGGCGGTGGCAGAGGCAGCCATTGTCTTGGCAGGGGTCAATTTATATTCTGTTTTGAACAATATTTTATGGGGGTCAATAAGCATATTTTAAAGGAAAAATATTTGCCAGCTACGCGAAAGATACGCCATCACATAGTCACACATGCAGACTTTAAAAATGTCTCGTTAACTACACGAAATATTGACATTACATACGGACATCCCCGAACAGTGGCGGAGGTATGAATTATTCTTATGGGGGTCAAAGGATGTAAACTTTAGTTAATGGGGGTCAATATAGAGATTTCCAGCCATTTCATGTGTGTTTGGGTCATAATCACTTAAGGATTATGATTATTTTCAAAATCTTATGGGGGTCATCTGACCCCCTTACTCTTCATGTAGCTCCGCCACTGTCCCCGAACTAACATAAGTTATGTTGCAAACACCATAACCATCTAATTCCAGTGATTCAGTTGCCGGAATCTGGCATTGACCAGCATTGACCGGCGTTGACCGATGTTGACCAAAAAAAATTTCAATTTTTTTTTTTTTTGCTTTTTATTTATTGATCTATTTTTGATAAAAAAAAAATTATTCAAAAATTATTACATAATTTTACTTAAAAATATACCAAAAAATAATATAACAAAATAAACCACAAAAAAATTATACAACAAAATTTTGGTATATATTTTTGTAATATAACACAAAATAGTCTATAAATTTATTTATAAAATTTTGGTATAATATACCACAAAGTATATTTTGTTATATGACCAAAATTTTATAAGAAAATATAGCATAAGAAATATTTTGTTAATAAAATTTTAGTAATATAACAAAATATACATTTTTCTTTTGGCAATCATTTTTTTACCTCAAAGTAATAATTTTCTTCTCGGTTATTCGTTGTTAAATACCACAAAATTTTTTTTTTCTGAATTTTGCTTACAAAATTACAAGTAAATTAAAAATTTGTACAAATCCATAGAGGTCAATTGACCCTATAAAGACCATATACCTCCGCCCCTGGATACCCGGTGCTAACTTCCAGGGGCAAATTTTTAAAATTTATTATTTATTATTGGATTAGTTAATTATGTTTTGATTTTTTGTTGGTGTTAGTATGTAAAAATGTAATGCATGTTAATTGTTTGAGAGTTATTGAATTAAATAGTGTATGTTAATTGTTAATTTAATAATGAAAATTATATAATTGTGATTTTAGACGCAAAGTAACTGAAGACCAAGAGTAAAGTCTTCGGGATCTATGTTTCCCATAATCAAATTGCTAGCTTCTTTTTTTTTTGTTAAAAACAAATTGCTAGCTTTTGCTACGTTATCTACTCTGTTCTAGTATTCTTTAATATGCTCTGTTTTCCGTAAGTTGTTTCTCTTTCAAACATTTGTATATATCCCCTATTTTTGATACATATATAAATTACATATTTCAACAAAAAAAGAAGTTACCATATAATTAAAATTTTATTATTAATTTCGTAGTTATATTACAGGTGGTCACATCTATATATACATTTTCGAAGTACAAATATGAAATAAATCTTTAAGTTGATACTTATTTACAAGAGAGTGATATTGTCATAAATGTTTATCTATTAATTAATATTACAAATTATTTTCAAAAATTTTAAAACAGACATATATTACTCAATCGATGAACAAAAAAATATGTGTACAATGGTTCACATTACTTAAAAAATTGAGCAATGGTTAAAATTGAAATTGTTATCCGGTTTACTCCGGTTCTTTACTTTAAAGAATTGAAAATTTTAAAAAGTTTCAAAATATTATAAATATTTAAACTTTATTTAAAGTTAAATATTATAATTATTTAAATTTTTTTTTATAATTCAACTTTATAAAACGTTTTAAATATTTTTAAAATAAAACTTTTATGAAGTTTCAAATATAATATTTAAACTTTATAAAAATTTATTAGAAGTTTAAACATTATAAATATTTATAAATATTTAAACTTTTAAAAAAGTTTTAGAGTATTTATAATATTCAGTTCTATAAAAAGTTTATACTAATATTTGAACTCTATAACAATTAAAATTTTATATAGATATATATTATGAGAACCATTTAAAGAAATATTTTAAATTGACTCCAATTATCTATGGTTTTAATAAAACTATTATTAAAAAGAAAATAACAAAATGCTGTTAATTTCATGTCACGAGGTTATATGGTGGGACGAGTTTGGGTCGATATTAATTTAGGACGGTGTACCACGGGTGCAATCCTAGAATTAAAAATAAAAACATAATCATAATACCTTAAACACATAACAAACCAAACAATATTAACAAAAAAAAATATAACTTAAAATTTAAAGTCTTTTAGTTTTAAAAAATCGAACCGCAATATACCCCAGGGTAAACTTTTTTAGATACAAAATAATATCAAACTATTATAATAGTCCATGATTATGAATGCTTGCCAATATTAACACTATATCACTTCTATACCTACAAATCTTCTAAGTACATCAATACAAATTAACACATTTAAGTAAATAAATACAACAACTCAAAAACAATATTTATATATTTCAACTATATTAATTATAATATAAATAATTAAATGAGAAATAATTTTTTATAGTATGAATTTAAAAATCGAATAAATTATAAATTATTATATAAAATACAATTTTGCCCCCTGGTGTACCGCGGGTTAAATCATAATATGTTAGTACACGAGAATACAAAACATATCAAACGTAGCCTGTCTATTTCGGAATGGGAAGTCCGTTCGGTCCTGTAAATGGGGAAAACGGCCAAAATCAATTCGATCTATTCTCATGCGGCGTTTTATACATGAACTCTAACGAGTGGTCGTTTCCTACCCGAACTGAACAGATATTCAAATTTACAACCTGAACTTATCAACAATAGGCCAAAACCAACATCGACTTTAACGGTGTCTGTCAAATTTTAAATTCCGATGACTAAGCATATATTGTTGTGATGATGTGGCGTTGTGCGGCTGACGTGTTAAGTGACTAAAAAAACATGAAAAAATCGTCATAAGTAGGCTTCGAACCTGCAGCATGAAACCAATCGTCATACAGTCAGCATGAGCGACATTTGAAAAAAGCTTTGAGTCTATCCCAATGCTCCTTGGTTATCTCTCGATGTGTTATGGTCGTTCGAAGTCGATGTTCAATGGTATTTATAATTTGTGACATAACCATAATGTTCGCCATTAAGCAATCTTCCCCATCCTCCAAAACCTCCCTCGGGAGCTATCACTAATTCGTTGACTAAACCTAGTTTAAATATCAATTCTCACCTTCCTCGTCCACTCTCTATAATTCCTTTTAGTGAGCATGACTTGCATGATCATGTTTTTGAGTTGTCATTCACTGACAAGACGTAGGGAAACTCAACATTTTTCTGCCGTTTTACCATATTAAAGTTTTATGAGATTTTAACTCAAAATCAATTGTTAATGAATGAATTTTTTATAAATTACTTTAGAACACAATTCTAATTTTCTATGTTGAATTCTAACCTTACTCTCTTGAGTTGATGGTTTTTGTCAACCCATCTTGAATTGAATCTTTACTATATGACCGATTATAAATCCTACTTGGACCAAACAAACTAGACTCTATATCATAAACTCTTTCTGTTCCTTATTTAATCCAAATTTTAGGTTTTTCACACATATTAAAATTTAAGAAAACATATTTAGAATTCTTACATATATTAAGAAAACATACTAAAATTGACTATAAATTGATAATTTTTGTGATTAACAATTTTCCACAACGCTTTGAAAAAAAAAACCTTTCCACATATATATATATATATATATATATATATATATATATATATATATATATATATATATATATTGTCAACCACACATTAATTTATAAATAACTCCTTGATTGGTTGCCCAATTAGGAGGAGAAGTGTTTACAAAAGAAACTTCAGTCCTTTCCACATATTTAAACCAATATTATTCAAATTTTTTTGTTTTGAAGTGTACAATCCATCATTAATAACTAATTATAAATGCCTAGAAAACCTAAAATTTGTTTCTTTTTTGCAACAATTTTTTATTTCTAGAATTTGGATTAATAATTACGGAGGGAGTAAGATTTAGAAACTTTTGTTTATTCCGCATTCGCGCTCTAACAAAAATAACACATACAATTTTATTCTACCAGATACGAGTTGGGACATATAATTATGAGAAATTGTTAAAAATGCCCATTTTTCAATACCCCTTTTCAAAAATGCCCCCTTTGAGAGTCCATTTTTAAGTTTGCCCTCTTTTAATTTTTAATGACAATTTTACCCTTATTTGAAACAAAATTAGGTCCACAAAATACAAAATATTTTTTGGCGGGAAAAGTGATCCCGCAATTTTCCCGCCAAAACACTTGTAAAAACCTTTAAAATACCTTGTAAAATTTTCCCGTAAAAATTTTTCCCGCCAAAAAATTTTCCCGCCAAAAAACGTTTTTTGCGGGAAAAGTGATTCCGCAATTTTTTTGGTGGGAAAAATTTACAAGGTATTTTAAAGGTTTTACAGAGTATTTACAAGTGTTTTGTAAGGTTTTACAATGTATTTTAAAAGGTTTTACAAGGTACTTATAAGGTTTTATAAGGTATTTATAACTTGTAAAACCTTATAAAAAACTTGTAAAACCTTCTAACTTGTAAAACCTTATAAAATAGCTTGTAAAATCTTATAATATCTTATAAATACCTTATAAATACCTTGTAAAACCTTTTAAAATACATTGTAAAACCTTATAAATATCCTGTAAAAAACCTTTAAAATACCTTGTAAATTTTTCCCGCCAAAACTTTTCCCGCCAAAAAAGTTTCCCGCCAAAAAAATTGCAGAATCACTTTTCCCGCAAAATTTTTTTTTTGGCGGGAAAAAATTTTACGGGAAAATTTTACAAGGTATTTTAAAGGTTTTACAAGTTTTTACAAGTGTTTTGGCGGAAAAAATTGCGGGATCACTTTTCGCCAAAAAATATTTTGTATTTTGTGGACCTAATTTTGTTATATTTCCTTATATATTTGTGATATCTTTTATTAAAAGAAGGGTAATTTAGTCATTTTGTACATAAAAAGGGGTATTTTTAAAAATGGACAGCCAAAAGGGGACATTTTTGAGAAGGGGTTTTGAAAAAGGGGCATTTTTGTGAGTCTCCCTATAATTATTTGGACTACCCTAATTAGTATCCGTTTGGGAAATAAAACTTTAAAAATTACAAATTTTATTTACAAGTTCTTAAAATACTTAAAAGCACCGAATTTAATATCCTCACGATATTTGGGCTTTGATATTTTGGGCCTCTATAAATATGGGCCGAGATTTCTCATTACTTCGCCTCTCACAAAGACGCCAACAGTTTTAGAAAGGTACCGAGATATTTTCTCAGTAGAGAGAGCTTGAACCATGGCGGGAATCGACACACAGAAGCAGCTTCTCTCTCTGATCCGCGATTTCACCTCTGAAAGATCTCGCGGAGGTAAGATCCTTCATACATTTTGTTCGTTTTCGCGACGAAGAAGAAATCGGAAGATGTTTAGTAGCAATTTGAAACATAATCGAACAGATTTTGAAGAAGATGATATGCTTTTTTGGTTATTTTTGATTTTTGTGTTGATATTATGCGATTTTGATCTTCTTAGTCTCTGTAATCGGGGAATTTATCGTCCTGATTGTTGGTGATTTTTCAAATTAAGAGCAAAGAGTTGTTGGATTGAAGAAGAGGATCGAGATTTTGCAATTGGAAATCGAAGCAGCGAATTCAGAAGTTGAGAATGCGAAGCGTATCAAAGAAGTGGCGGAAGAGGAGCTTAATGGTTATGAAGTTGAATTGTCTTTGAACGATGCTACGATTCAATCTCTGGAGGTTTTGATTTTCTTTATATTTACTTGGTTTTTGGGATGATTAACAAGTTTTGGTGCCTAATGAGATTGAAACTGTGCTTTTTATTAATCTCAGGCAAGGATTGGTCTTCTTCAGGATGAAGTTTCTACTATTGGCAGTGAAGTTGATGCTCTTAAGGTTTGGCTACACATTGTTTCTTTGAGTTTTTAGTGCTTATGGTTGGTTGATATCATCGTTTGATATTCTGGAATTTTTGTTGATGACTTGATTGTTGGCGAAATAAAGAACAAGGAAGGATTACTCAGGTGATTTTTGTTTTCTAATATCTTGATTAGTTTAGTTCAAAATTTGGTTTTGTTTGGTGGTTGCTTATACTCTTTATGATATACAGAGATCAGTTTATAAGCCAAATGGAAGAACTGAACAAGGAGATAAGGTTATTTTCTTTTCTTTGCGTTTTCATCGTATGCTGTTGCAGACCATCTTAAGTTGCTTGGTTGGTAATAGGGAGTTCCAAAAAACAGTAGATTCGACTTTTGGCAATGATGATAGTACTGGCATAACACCAAGTGAGTAGCTAATGTTTGCAGTTACTCTTCTTGTTTTATTTTTCACTGTCTATTAAGAGATTATGGCTTTTGGATATGTTTCATAATTGCAGATGTCAAAGCTTTTGAGGATAGTTCTGGAGCGGATTCAGAAGCTATCAAGGGAATGCTATCTGATTTAAGTTCTCAATTAGCAAAAGAGAAAGAAGGATACCTGGCGGAGAAGAAGATACAAGAACAGGTAAAATGGAAATATAGGAGTCAATTTGTAAACTTTGCTGCTTCAAATACCTTTTGCTAGCTTATCCATTCCCTGTTTTAGATTGTTGTTTAATCATTCTATGAGGAGAACAAATTGGGATTGATAATTCGGTGTTCCTATCTGTAGCTGCAGAAGGAGCTCGATGACTATGAGAAGAAAATGTCACTCATGGAGGCCATAACAGACAAAACGAATTCAGTGCAAGTTCTCGCTAGATATCCTTTAATCCCGTTAGCTGGTGAAGCATGATTTATAAACTGATAACTACGGTTGCAGTAATCATTTATCACATTCACATCAACTAGTTCTGTTTTTTAATACAGCCTGCACTCTGCAGCCAGCCATTCTTTTGCTAGGATATAAAGCAAGCCAGTGCTTGTACCTTTCATTTCTGATTTGCCATTCTTTCAAAAGAATAGTTTCCTTGACAGAAAACAAGCAGGCTTCTGAGTTGGAACAGACATTCGCTTCACTTGGGGAGGAGCTGCAAAAGAGATGCCGATGCCAACATTGCCAGGCAGAAAATTTGGAAGTCTTGAACTTACTTCTTCAGGGAGATCAAGTATGTCTATCTCATAAATAGACTTTTGTACTCTATTGATCATCCAATTTTTACTGATAGTGCTTCGTTAACCGTATTGTCAAGAAAAGACTCCGTATATCGGTAGATATGTTCTGCTTCATTTTAGCTGGAGTCCTCACCCTGAACGAATGTAGACATGTGTTGTAGCTTGTTTAGGGAGCTACGATGTCAAGAAGCGTTATGTCTAACTTTCGAATTTTGTCACTTCGACTTCTACATTTTCTTACAATATTGAAGAAAATGATGATGATCAGAGAACAGGCTTTCTCTTAGTTGTGAAAGAGTAGTATCTTTCAACATGACTATATTGTACTCTCAAATATTTCTGAATACAGTAGACTGAGCTTTTCGTTTCTATTTGATATTTTTCCTGCAAGCTGTCATGTTTAAAACATTGTTATATTTTGCAGGATATGGAGGTGTCTTAGATAAAAGCCAATCTTGTGGTTGCTTGAGGTAAGATTGATTTACTTGGGTCTCAACATGGTAAGACATTTACTTTCACCTCTCTGGATTTAAAAAAACAAACTTGTCTAGAAATTTTACTAAATATGCAATGATGAAGCTAACAACAGTAGTCCCAACTCCCTAGTCACGGTCACCGGTTTTAAAAGTACAAACAATTAGCTATGGTTTTCCTTACATTAACAACTAACAAATCCAATAACAACTCAACTGGGAAGGTATAGGTACATATCAGCCACGTTCTTGATATTAAACCACTCATATAAAGCCAATGCAAGACTTCCAAAATGAGAACTTCCTCCTTACATTCCAAGTCCTTGGAAACACATCCCAAAGTTCAATATAGCTCAGATAGGAACCTATGCAAACTAATTGGAACACTTGCTTTGGCTGCTATTATGATACCATCGATCGATCAAGAACGACAACGCACTATTTCCTCTTTGCAGAGATTCATCAACACCAAAATCTTCTCCTCTTTGGAAAGATTTATATTCTATCAACACCAAAATATTTTTATGAAAACGTCAACGAACTTTTTTCGGCGAAACTAGAGAGATCAGATGTTGATCGGATTTAGGACTTTGGCCTATTGATATATGGAGCAGAGCGGCTGGATTCCCCATTATTCAAACATTTCTCAACCTATATAACTGCTATCGGTTTTTATCACACTGTCACTCGAGAGGCCCTTACATTATTTCCTGAACACTTAATCCGATTGAAACCTAACCCCATTAGTACCCAATCCACATCATCCGCTTTTTATGTTGTCCCTATTCTCCATGTTCTTTCACCAACTCTCCTTCTTTTCTGTTTCATAGACAAAACGAAAACACCTCGAGGAGCTACAATTATTTTTATTAGCATGGGACCAATAACAATTCAACTGGGAAATGTGTTAACTCATAGCAACTTTAAACAGTCAATTACAGTACTTTTGTTTCCATGAGAAAGAGAGTATTTTATACACATCTGACTTTCAACTGAGAGTTCTCTGGATACTGGCCAATGAGAAATAAGCGCCTGTTGGACCCTTTCCCAACAAGGAAGAATGGTTACCACATTCGATAATTTTCCCTTTGTCTAAAACAACGATCATGTCACAGTTTTGGATTGTGCTAAGCCTATGTGCGATCATAATGCTCGTCCTTCCAACCATTACACGCTCAAGCGCGTCCTGCACCACATGCTCTGATTTGCTATCTAGAGCGCTAGTAGCTTCATCAAGGAGCAATACCGATGGATTCTTCAAAACTGCTCGAGCAATTGCGATCCTCTGTTTTTGACCACCAGACAATTGTACTCCTTTGTCTCCACAGTTTGTGTCATACCCGTTAGATAGTGATGTGATGAAATCATGAGCGTTCGCTGCCCTTGCTGCCTCGATAATCTCCGACTCGTCGATCTTGTCAGATGTTCCTCTGTACATAATGTTCTCTCGGATCGTCCCAGCGAATAACATTGGCTCTTGGCTAACCAAAGATATGTACTTACGAAGCGATCTTAGATGATACGACCTTATATCGCGGCCATCAATTTTCACAATACCTTTTAACGGATCATAGAACCGCTCAATCAAGCCAATTATTGTGGATTTACCTGACCCGCTTGGACCTACTATCGCTGTTGACTTCCCCTCCTCGATCTCAATGGAAAAGTTCTCGAATATAACCACATCAGGTCGTGTTGGGTAAGAGAAGTCCACATTAAGAAATGTAATTTGTCCTTTTATTTTTCCTGGGACGTATCCACTTGGGTCCTCTGGCTCAATGGTCGTACAACGATCTAACACTGCAAACACTGACCCAACTGCATCCAATCCCTTGGCTATATCTGTCGTCATGGTTCCAGCATCAGCAATAACCCGACCCGTAGTCACAAAGATCATAAATATCTCAAAGAATGCTTTTGACACCATCTTCCTATCAGCGATTAGTCTACTACCATACCAAAAATTCAAAGCCGAAGTACACGTTATAAGGCTTCTAGAAGTCCCCAACACAATCCCTGCTAACCATGATTGGTAGACACTTTCTTTACGAGGACCTTCTTGAACCTTTTTTAGTAGTTTTATGATCCGTTCTTGTGATGAGAAGGCTGTGATGGTTCGTATGTTTGATACAGCCTCCGCGGCTAATTTACTACATTCATCTTGGGCTTTGGTGGCCTTTTCGGAAAAGCTCTTGAGCAGAATACGTTGAGTGTAGAAGCAGACAACAATTAGTGGCTGTACTGAAATCAGCACGATGGCTAATCGCCAAGCAATGACCAAACCAATTATGCAAGCTACGCTCACTGCCGATATGGTTTGTACCAGCAATGACATTCGATCACCAACCATTGATCTCACCTATCACAAAAACATTAAGATATCAAGAAATGTTAAAAATACTGTTTATTAAAGTTCAAATAAATACAAAATAGAAGACATACCACGTTAGCATCTTTTGCTAGCCTGGAGCAAATTGAACCACTTGAGTTATCATCTATATCGAACCAATTGACTTCAAACGTCAATATCTTTGAGAGCATTTGTTCTCGAATACGCTTTGTTAGGTATTCACCCATGTATGCAAAACTGTAATGTTGACTAATATTGACTAAGAAAGAGAATATAGCTAAACCAACAAATAACAACACATATATCCTTGTTTTCTCCTTGATCTCGTCATGGCTCATTAGGAAAAACACTGATATCACTGATCCCGCGGAATATGCAGAAATTGGTTGTATGATCCCAAATAAAGCTGCACTTAAGCAACCACATAATGCATGTTTCCACTCTGGCCTATTCATTGCCATCAATCTCTTAAATGATGGCACAAGCGGCTTATTATCGTTAGGAATCGAATGAGAAAGATTCGTAATAATGCTTGAGCTTGTGCTACTAAGAGAGTTGTGTTGACTATACTTAAAGTCGTTGCTTAAAATCAAGACTTTGCCCTTTTTCACACTTGCATTGATGTTAACATCTGATTCTTCATTCTTCATTTGTTGTAAGCGGACTAGCGAAGAGTAATGCCCATCTATCCTCTCCAGGAGCTCTTCGTGCGACCCGGTTTCGACAATGTGACCATTTTGGATTACACAGATAACATCAGCATTACGAAGAGTAGAGAGGCGGTGGGCAATAACGATAGTAGTACGGCCAATAGAGATATTATCTAAGGCTTCTTGGACTACCCTTTCGGATTCGGAGTCCAGAGCACTTGTTGCCTCGTCTAGAAGGAGAATTATCGGTGATTTAATTAGCGCTCGTGCAATTGCGATCCTTTGCTTCTGGCCTCCCGACATTTGCACTCCCCTCTCCCCGACCTTTTTTTTTTTATTTTGAAAAGCAAAACATGCGTTTTTACCATCATCTTTGAAAGATATAAATAAAGGGAAAATAAACTATAATCATTATGTTCTTAGGAATATAACCTGAGTTTTGTAACCAAGAGGGAACTCAGAAATAAAAGTATGAGCGTTTGAGGTTTTGGCAGCTTCCACTACTTCATCCATCGATGCATCTTCTTTACCAAATAATATGTTCTCTGTTATAGATGTGGCAAAGAGTACTGGCTCTTGGCTAACAAGACCCATTTGTGATCTCAACCATTTCACCTGCATCTTATTAATGGACACACCATCAATGAGAATATCTCCTGCGATCGGGTCATAGAACCTCTGTAAAAGCGATATAATGGTCGATTTTCCCGATCCACTTCCGCCCACCAAAGCCACAGTTTTCCCTGATGGAATTTTCAGACATAAATCGTCAAAGATAGGGGTTTCAGGTCTAGACATGTAGTTGAACTTCACGTGGTTGAATTCCACATATCCTTCAATCCTCTCCAGAATCTGACCTTCCAATTTTTCTGAATCTATATCAGGGACTCTTTTTATCACTTCTAAAATTCGTTCCCATGCTACAAATGCCTCTGAGAAATATTTGAGATTTGATAAACTCTGACCAAGTTGTCTGAAAAATGTAAGATACCAAAGGTTAAGACAACACAATGGTTTCGTTCGTGTCAAGAAAACCAAAGAGCACTAAACATAATTACTTACATGCCGCCATATGTGATGCAACTAATGACTACGAAGACAGTACCGCCTTTAGAGCCATGGTTCATAACCAGCCGACTTCCGTACCAAGTTAAGAATCCCCAAATAGCATGAGTGACACCATTGCTCCCAATAGCAATTCCTTTAGCTAGCCCTTGTCTTAACCCTAGCTTCACCGACCCTTTAAGTGCAGTTGAGAACTTCCCTATCATTCTGTTCTCACTACCAAATGCATAGATTGTTCGAACTGATGAGATAGCCTGCTCGGCTATAGAACCAGCGTCGTTGTACTGCTCGCGAATCTTCCTTGAGATGCTAACGAGGGCTCGTCCATACATTAGTCCAGGGATCAAAAGGAGGATGATGAATGGGAAACCAACGATTGTGAGTCTCCATAGCAAGATGAAACCCACTATATAGCTTGCGACAAACGCAGATGCATTCATCAAAAAGTTTGGTAACTGCTTAAAATCAAAATCATTAAAAAATGGTTTTTAAAAAAATTATTAAAACGATATATAGAGATGCAAAGTTGAGACCTTTTCACTGAGGAAGTCTTGGATGACGAGGCTGTCACTAGAGACACTGGTGATAACATCAGAAGTGCTTGTAACATGAAGATCAAAGTAACCCACATCTTGTCTTAACACTGCCCTTAAGTACTTTTCTCTCATTCTTGATGTTTGTCTCTCCCCTGTTCTTGTCCAACAATATCCTTCTGTTTTACATATTAAACCCATCCACAAAATACAAAACTTTTGTTATATGAACAAAAATATGTTTAAAGAAACATGATCTATAAAGACTTACCAAGGAAACATATCACCCAAGATCCACAAGCGACGTAAAGCAAAGCTACAACATTCTGTTAATTACCCAATGTGCAAAAAGAAATAAAACGTTAGTGTTCTTTCCTTATGAATTTTTTTTTTCAAGGTTGATTCCTTGTTTTTCTTGTCGTCTACTACATCTAATGATGATATTTTAATAAAGATGCTAGATCTAGATGCACATCCGGATGAATAAACCAATGAGGCCAAAGAAGTTAAGTATCACGCCATGTTTGGTCTACTTTGTCATGTCTACTAACAAAATAAAGCGAGAACAAAAAAAACAGAAATTAAAGACCACATGAGAAGAGAGAGAAAATACCTTGGAGATTGTTTGCATGAAGGTTTGATTATTGGAAGAGGAAGTACCAAGGTTGTTCAGTAGTGTGTTGAAGATAAAAACTACAACAGGAGTGATGAAGCCATCACCAACGGCTCCGATTAAGCCTAATGCCATCAATATCCAATCTACACCATCCGCGTGCATGAATATCGATCTTATGCTTCCAAAACTCTTCATCTTGTCCCTCCCACTCTCTTTTTCACCTTCTTTACCCATTTTTCTCTTTTGTTTAGAAAGAGAGAGAGACCAAAACGACACTTTGACCTTTGGGAAACGACAACCTGCAGTTTTATATAGCAGCCGGGACAGAGGGAGACCGTAGGCCTTTTAATATATATTAAAAGCTCTTATAACATTTGTATAATACCACCAAATACCACAGTTTGTGTCATACGTAAAGACAATTAATGTACTATTGTAAAAGCGTTTAGCATTCAATTAGATATATTGAAAATTTGGTCATAACGTAAAGATGTTAGATATTACAAAAGATCATTGTACGTAGTTAGTTCACTAAGCCAAGTCCTTTAACAAAAAAAAAAAAAAAAAGTAGTTCATTATAAGCCTTGTTCGAATCGAAGAACTAAGATTTACCGGATCCTTGTTCTGAAAGTAGATTCGGACCAAAATCACATATATTAAAAAAATTAAAGTAACGTGAACAAACGAATGACAATATGGCTACCGTCTACCGAGGATTCGAGTTTTTTCTCGGCAGTTTTCGATTTTTACCCGACCGTTTGAATTTTTTACTCGATCGATTATTCTTCAGAGTTTTTAGAGATTTTTGCCAACGATTGACGTACCGGCTACCAAGGCATACAATTAATTAAAGACCATTCCGATAATTTAGAAACAAAAATATTGTTTAATCATACATGTCATTTATTATCATTGACGTTAGCTGTCTTTACGTAATGTCTTAGGGAATAATTATATAACATCAATATTGATTTAGTACTGATCACTACAACTACAATAATAGATGCATCGTACAATACAAACTCACATGGCTTTTTCAATTCCTCTCTATAACATTATTCACAAATCTAAACAATATCAAAGAAATAGTTTCATCAATCTTTTTGCAAAGGACTTATTAAAAAAATATTATTCATTTTATTGCAAAAATATGTAAATGAGTTTAGTCTACAGTTGATAATGTTCAATTATAATTTGAGATTTGTTCTTGAAAGAGCATTGTGTTTTCGAGAATAACTAGAAAGCATAGATACGTACTCTAGCAACTGAAATACAAGCAAAAGGTTTATCCGGAACCCTATCACATCATCAGAATCACACTTAGTCCGAAATACAAGCAAAAGATTTATCCTCGTGAGCACTCCCCGACGCTAAGGAAAGACACCAATGAGACTGGATCGGAAAAGGGTTTCCATGAGAAAAAAAGGGAAAAAAAGGGGGGAGGTAGAGGTTTGGGTATTCGTCGATATAATCTACAATTTGGGGTGGGAATGATTTTTAAAATTTTTGTAAAACAATTTGACACATGATGAATCATTTCTATGAAAATTGGTTAACTCTCTCCATATGAGTGCTACATCATCACATAAAAAAAATGTGTCTTTTTACATTATTTAAATAAAAAATAACAGAATTAAGTAAAAACTCAAAAGTCATCCATTGCATTAAATCTTCTATCAATACCATTTTTAATTGATTTCTTCAAAATAAAATAAAAATCATATTAATGTATCAAACATTACTTTTATTATTCTCTTCTTTTTTTACTAATTTTTTATCATTGGTTATTTCTCGACAATGACTGAAAATTTACAATTCAACTTTTTGGTACCTAACACGTTCTTATGTTTTGTGGTCCACATATGATTATATGAACTTTTTTCTTTTCATTTTTGTGCATTATGGGAAGTTAGTAATATTGACAATAACCATCAAGGTTTTTCAAATAAGAGACCTTTGAGACGTTAGACATACTAAGGAATTTAAAACACGCCAATCTCTCCTATATGGCTATATGCAAATGCATGGGGATAGAATTAAAGATATTGACTTAAATGACTCTTCAATTTTTTGTTTTCGTTTTGTTTTTTTTTCATAAGAAAAATCTTGAAGAAAATGAATAGTTATTTATACATATGTTATTCAAATTATGTCAATTTAGTATTTAATCATGAGCCTATCATGATGTGTGTGGCTGGAGTACTATATCAGGAACTCTTGAAGCAAAAGAATAGTTAGTTATACATATGTTTTTCAAATTATGTCAATTTAGTATTTAATCATGAGCCTATCATGATGTGCGTGGCTTGAGTACTATATCAGGACAGAGTATGAAAGAAGGAATTGTTTGTTTAGAATAAACTTAGACAAGTTTCAAACCACATAGGTAACATAATTATATATTATTGTATCAATATATCTTATATATTTTTGTATGTATTTATATTTGTGAAAAGGATTAGAATCTTAGATATATCGATAAATAGATTTATATATGAAAAAGTATAATTGATATTTTGTGTCACAAATGAATCTAACCACAAAATTCTAAACTACATAAAATAGATCTAACTTTATTATAACATAAACTAGCAACAAAGAACAGTCAACATAATTTATTTTTAACAATTTCAAAACAACAACCCGCGTGTAGCGCGGATATTCACCTAGTCTATGTTAAATGATAAGGAACACTAGACGAATAGTCCAGAAGCCATCTCCTTTTCCCCAAGCTAATATGTTACAATGGTTAAAATGCCCACCCCTAAATCATGAGGGAAGTACAAATGATGTAGCTGATCAATTGTTTGGATCCAAATAGTTCTTTCTACTATAGAGAATTCAAATTGCTTAAATTCAAGTATTGGGATGTCATTATGATTTTTTCATGTTATACATATTTATCCTCATGGTTTTTGAAACAAAATAATGGAATCTAAATTTTCGTGAGAATTATTGTTTCAAGTTTTATTAAAGAATTGCGGAAATTACGGATTTATTTTGTGTCCTAAATTGTGTTATCATTCATAATCTGAACCAATTAATCACATTGTCTTATAGATGATCATGGAACCAATAACTTTCCTATTTCTTTACGTCACTTGTTTTCATCAAATATATCAGGATTTGAAAGAATACAACTATATGGAAACGTGCTTCATGTTTTAGGCAAAGAGACGTATTGATACACATCTAACCTTCAAGTTCAACAGAGAGTTCTCTGAAGACTGACCAGTGAGAAATAAACTCCCGTTGGACCCTTTGCCAATAAAGACGAGTGGCTCCCACATTCCACAACTTCTCCTTTATCTAAAACAGCGATTGTGTCACAGTTCTGGATCGTACTAAGCCTATGAGCGATCACAACGCTTGTCCTCCCAACCATCAAACGTTCAAGCGCGTCTTGCACCACGCGTTCCGATTGGCTATCAAGAGCACTTGTAGCTTCATCAAGGAGCAATACTGATGTATTTTTTAGAACCGCTCGAGCGATCGCTATTCTCTGTTTTTGACCACCAGACAATTGCACTCCCCTGTCCCCGCAATACGTGTCATAGCCGTCAGATAGGGATGTGATAAAATCATGAGCGTTGGCTGCCTTTGCTGCCTCGATAACCTCCGACTCATCGATCTTGTTAGATCCTCCTCCGTACATGATGTTCTCTCGTATTGTCCCAGCAAATAATGTTGGCTCTTGGCTAACCAAAGCTATGTGTTTACGAAGTGACCTCAAATGATACGACCTTATATCACGACCATCGATTTTAACAATACCTTTTAACGGGTCGTAGAACCGCTCGATCAAGCTAACTATTGTGGATTTTCCTGACCCGCTTGGACCGACGATCGCTGTCGACTTACCATCTTCGATTTCAATGGAGAAGTTCCGAAATATAATCACATCAGGCCGTGTTGGGTAAGCAAAGTCCACATTGAGAAATCTTATTTGTCCCTTTACTTTTTTTGGGACGTATCCGTCTGGGTTCTCCGGCTCAATGGTTGTGTTGCGATCTAATACTGCAAACACTGACGCAACCGTATCTGATCCCTTGACTAGATCTTTCGTCATGGTCCCAGCTTCGGCAATAACCCGACCCGTACTCGCAAATATCAAAAATATCTCTAAGAATGCTTTTGACTTCATCTTCCCATCAGCAATTAGTCTACCGCCATACCAGAAATTCAAAGCCGAAACGCACGTTATAAGACTTTGTGAAGTCCCCAACATAATTCCTGCTAACCACGATTGGCGGGCGCTATCTTTCCGTGGACCTTCTTGAACCATTTTAAGTAAGTTAATGATCCGTTCTTGTGACGAGAAAGCTGTGATGGTTCGAATATTTGAGATAGCTTCTGCAGATAGTTTACTGCTTTCATCTTGGGCGTTGTTGGCATTTCTCGACATTCTCTTGAGCAGAACGCGTTGAGTGTAGAAGCACACGACAATCACTGGCTGCACCGAAATCATCACGATGGAGAATCGCCAAGAGATGACCAAACCAATTGCACAAGTGATGCTCACTGCCGATATAGACTGTACCAGCAATGACATCCGATCACCAACCAACGATCTCACCTAGTATAACAAAGTAACAAACCATTACAAGATCAATAAATAGATTATAAAATATTTTTCATTGAAGTTCAAATTAGAAAAGCAGAAGAAATACCACATTAGCATCTTTTGCTAGTCTCGAGCAAATTTCACCACTCGAATTCTCATCTTTGTCAAACCAATCGACTTCAAACGTTAGTATCTTCCCAAGCATGTGTTCTCGGATACGTTTTGTTAGGTATTCGCCCATGTACGCAAAACTATAATGTTGACTGATGTTGGAGAAGAAAGTGAACAAAGCTAGACCGACAAATAACAACACGTAGATCCTGGTTTTCTCCTTGATCTGATCATGGTTAGTTAGGAAATACACTGATATCATTGACCCTGTAGAATACGCGTAAATTGGTTGTACGGCCCCAAATAGAGCTGCACCTAAGCAACCATATAATGCATGTTTCCATTCTGGTCTATTCATTGCCATCAATCTTTTAAAAGATGGCACCAGTGACTTCCTATCCTTAAGAATCAATTCAGAAAATTCTCTAACATTTCTTGAGCTCGTGCTATGAATAAATTCTTTTGGACCATGCTTCAAATCATTGCTCAAACTCGATACTCGGCCCTCTTCCACACTTACATTGATGTTACGATCTGATTCTTCATTCTCCATTTGTTGTAAACGGACTAGAGAGGTGTATTGACCATCTAACTTCTCCAAGAGTTCTTCGTGTGATCCAGTTTCTATAATGCGACCATTATGGACTACACAAATAACATCCGCATTACGAATAGTAGAGAGGCGGTGGGCAATCACAATAGTTGTACGGCCAACAGAGGCATTGTCTAAGGCTTCTTGGACCACCCTTTCGGATTCTGAGTCCAATGCGCTTGTTGCCTCATCTAGAAGGAGAATTATTGGTGATTTAATTATTGCTCGTGCAATTGCAATCCTCTGCTTTTGGCCTCCTGATAGTTGTACTCCTCTTTCTCCAACCTTTTACAAAGAGCAAATATATGTCCTCATCATAAAACTAAAAAAAAAAACGACAGAAGTTCAAAAAAAAAAAAGGAATATAACCTGAGTTTGGTAACTATTGGGGAATTGAGATATGAAATTATGTGCATTTGAAGCCTTGGCAGCTTCCACTACCTCATCCATGGATGCGTCCTCTTTACCAAATAATATGTTCTCCTTTATCGATGTGGCGAAAAGCACTGGCTCTTGGTTAACTAGACCCATTTGCGATCTCAACCAATTCACTTGCAACTTATTAATAGGCAAACCATCAATGAGAATCTCTCCAGCGATTGGGTCATAGAACCTTAGTAAAAGTGATATGACGGTTGATTTTCCTGATCCGCTTCCGCCTACCAGAGCGACAGTTTTCCCAGATGGAATTCTGAGACATAAGTCATCAAAGATTGGGGTTTCAGGTCTAGACGGGTAGGCGAACTTCACGTGGTTGAATTCTACTTCTCCTCTAGTTGTCTCCAGAATCTGACCTTCCAAGTTGTCTGAGTCTATATCAGGGACTCTATTTATCACTTTGATAATTCGTTCCCCTACTACAAATGCCTCTGAGAAATATTTGATATTCGACAAACTTTGACCAAGTGATCTGAAAAAATGTAAGACACCAACAATGAAGATACTACAAGATGGTTTGTTTTGTGTCCGCAAAACAAAAGAGCCTGTAAAGATAGTTACTTACATGCCGCCGAAGGTGACGCAAACAATGACTGTGGAGACGGTACCACCTTTGGAGCCATAGTTCATAACCATCCAACTTCCATACCAAGTCAGGAACGCCCAAATAGCATAAGTGATACCATTGCTCCCAACGGCGATTCCCTTAGCTAGCCCTTGTCTTAACCCAAGCTTCACCGACCCCTGAAGCGCAGTTGAGAACTTCTCGATCATCTTTTTCTCACTACCAAATGCGTAGACGGTTCGAACTGACGAGATGACCTGTTCAGCTATAGAGCCAGCCTCATTGTACTCCTCGCGTATCTTCATCGAGATGCCGATGAGGGCACGTCCGTACATTAGTCCAGGGATCAAGAGGAGGATGATGAACGGGAAGCCTACGATTATGAGTCTCCACAACAATATGAAACCCACTATGTAACTTGCGACAAATGCAGATGTATTCATCAAAAAGTTTGGTAACTGCTTGAAATCAAAATCATCAAAAAAACTTGATTAGAAACAAGAAACAAGATCAATATGATAGATAAAAGATGAGACCTTTTCACTGAGGAAGTCTTGAATAACTAGGATGTCACTAGAGACACTGGTGATAACATCAGAAGTGCTTGTAACATGAAGATCAAAGTAACCCACATCTTGTCTTAACACTGCTCTTAAGTACTTCTCTCTCATTTTTGCCGCTTGTCTCTCCCCGGTTCTTGTCCAGCAATATCCTTCTGGTTTGTTAATAAATATGCAAACCATCCACAAAATTAAATATTGTTTAGTTACATTGAAATGCATCAAATTAGGAGTTTTTTTTTTAAGGGACAGAAAAATGGTCTATGAATTAAGACTTACCAATGAAACATATCACCCAAGCTACACAAGCCACATAAAGCAAAGCTACAGCATTCTGTTAATTACCCAATGCGCAAAAAATAAAACAAAAGGAAGATACATTAGTGTTCTTTTCCTTAAACACGGTCGTGGCATTTTACGTCATGGTTCACATGGTTCCGTCTCGAAAGCGTTGACAATTAGTGATATATACTATTAATATATACAATGTTTTAAAGTATGACGCCATGTTTGGTATAGTTTTTTCCAGTGTTCAAGAAAGCGCTAGGCGCTAAGCGGGCGGTGACCCAGTGTCTAGCTAGCGCCTAAAACGCCTAATCGGGGCCTAGGCGATTTTTTAGGCGGTTTAGACGTTTATAACATAAAACATTATAAATATGATATTATATATAAAAGTTATATAAAACTTAAAATTATGAAATTATAAACAAAAACTAGATAAAACATTTATTTATATTTATATTAAATAATATATGAATATTTATAACTATATATATATAAATAAAACTCTAATTGAAATTGAAAAAATACATTAAATAAGATCTATGTAACTTTAGGCGGTCAAGGCGGTTATCTAGGCGTCGCATGAGAGCCTAGCGCCTAGTCGGGGCCTAGGCGACCGCCTAGACCGCTTTTTAGAACACTGGTTTTTTCATATTTACTTCTTTTTTTTTGTTTTTCTTTTGTTAATATGTCATGTCTAGTTAAAGACCAAAACAGAAAACAAAGAGGAAATTGAAGAAAGAGAGAGAGAGAGTGAGAGAGAAAAGACCTTGGAAACGGTTTGCATGAAGGTTTCATCATCGAAAGAGGAGCCACCGAGGTTGTTCAGCAATATACTACAAATGAAAAATATAACAGGAGTGATGAAGCCATCACAAACAGCTCCGATTAACCCTAACGCCATCAATATCCAATCTACACCGTCCGCATGCATGAATATCGATCTTATGCTTCCCCAACTCTTCATCTTCTTCCTCCAAGTCTCCTTATCCTTTCTGTTTCAAAGAAAAGAACAAAACTACAGTTCTCAGTCTTGTCTCCTTTTCTTCAAGAGCAAAAGGTCCTCTCCTCTTGTGGTAAAGAGTTAACAAATTAGAATAGAGTATTTGATTTTATCGTGTTATGTTATTTGTTCACGTCTTCCTGACTTTTATATGAAACAAAGGGAGACCGTTGGTCTTTTAATATGTATGAAACATTAATTACGGAGTATATTATTATGAGATGTGTGATTTAATACCATCAAATACTCTATTCTAATTTATTTATTCACTTTACTTTTAGAGTATTTGCACATTATGACAATGAAAAACGTAATATTTAAGAAAATAACAAATCCATTTATTGATATTTCTCGGTAACATGTTATAATTTTACATGACTTGAGAGGGACAATGACTCAGGCAAACTAGATTTTTACATAAAACGTGAACCAGAAATCCTCTCCGAGGTAAATCAATCTTCAATCCGGTCCGGTGTAAGCAAAACACGGCGACTTGAGAGGGACGATGACTCAGATAAACCCTCAAAAGCAGTAATCCGGGGACACCATCTCAGATTTAAACCAGATCGACCGTTACCCACCGAAAACCCATCAATCTTAAGCGTTATCTGCAGTAATCGCAGCATCCACCAGGCGGTTGAGTCGCGAGAGACTCCACTGCAACTTCTCCAGTGTCCTCAACCCGAAGAAATCGGTTATAAAATCTCCCGTCGGCCGAGAAAGGGCCACCACTACAATGCCTGAAGATACTCCACACCACGTCAACGTCGGAAAAGATAAAATATTTACTAGATTCATTTAACAAAAATATATTACATTTATACTCAATCTTTTAGTAGTTCATTTTTAAAATAAATATTTTTTCACTCAATTTTTACAAGTACCCTTTTTTTAAGTTTCTAATACCAACTCTAATATATATTCTTTCCTTTCATTTACCTAGCTTATACTGCCCAACTTTTATCTGTAACTTTAGAAATATTTATCTTTTGCTTCTTAACATTTAAACCAAAAAAACAAAAAAACAAATATATTTGGTTTTGCGCTCCGTAGCCCTATCTATTATTTCAGAACATGGATCCGGCTAAACGTAGACGGTTCCTCAAACCAGGTTTAGTGTAGGTAACAAAAGAACAAGGAAATTCTGTTTTAGTAATAGTATGAGTTAAGCTAGTAAATTAAATTTCAAATCTAATATCTATATGAACCTCAAATACTTTCATGTTTCCCGGTTTCTTTCCTTTATAGACAATTTCTTGAAATATGTTTCATAGAATCACTAAAATTATTGTTTTTTAAAAACAGAATCAGTAAATGATACTCCATCCGTCCCACAAAGATGAATTTTTAAGGAAAAAAATTTGTCCCACATAGATAGAAGTTTTGTGTTTCCAATGTCAAATTTAAAACAGTTTACCTATTTTACCCTTATTAAACAACAATAAATAATATACTCTTAAAATGTGTTAAAATGTTAAAAGGTTAAAATTGTCATTATACATTATTTCTTAAAGAATGTGAAATTTCTAAAAAATCTATCTTCGTAGGACGGAGGAAGTATCTGCTAAAACATCTCTCATGAAACATGTAGCTATAACTAAGTTCTGAGAAACCTCAATTGAGGGCCAGAGAATTTTATCTATACTATCTTTTGCGTGGAAAAACTCTATATTTCATTTAAAGAAAACGTTTTAGAGTAGTAAAAGACCAACTATAAAGTCACTGGTTATACAACTAATAAAAATACTAATTTAAGCATTTTAAACATATAGGCTGCAAATGGTTGACACAAAATACCAAGTTGAAAGAGTTGAATGAACATTCAACTAATTTTTTACCATTTGAGATGAAAAAGTTGAAAAAAGAATTCAACCCATTCAACTTAAAAACCTCAAAAATTGAACAAATTCTACAGCAAAAATGTTCAACTCATTCAACTACAATTTTGTAGATGAATGGATTGAATGATTTTCAACCCAATATTTTCCAACTTAATATATTCAACCCATTCAATTTAAAACAACCATTTGTAGCCATAATCTCAACCAGACATATCATCAGTTTATCATTGACTTTAGCTGTCTTCGCATAACATCTTTATTCACTATATGTTCATAACAGTAAATACGGTCTGTATGGCCGTATATAAGTTGTACGGTGGAAAGCCGTACTGTATTATAGCTATACAGTTGTTTAATACAGTGAAATCTATAGGTCCTTATATACAGCGATTATACGGCGTATATATGGTGAAATCCGCATATACGGCGTTTTTTTTTTAAAATGCTCAAAAACACAAACTATGTCGTTTTATTAATGTTCGGAAAAATGATTTAACAAAATTATTAGTTTGGCTTTAAAAAATTAATCATAATAATTAACTATAAATAACTTTATTGTCATTATTTTCTATTATTTTCATGCTTATTAGTTATTTAAAATTTTAAAAATATTTTGTAAAGTTGAAAATTTTAATTTTTTTTGTATTCATGCATAGTATTCATCATGTTACTATATTTATATTTTATTATTATTATTATATATATATATATATATATATATTTATTTATTTAACAAAAAAATATCCACCGTATAGTCCCCGCATAAACAGACGTATACCCACTGTACGCCTATCGTATAGCGCATTCTAGAACACTGGTTCATAATAGATGATATTTTGAGGTTTTGCACATTATTTTAAAAATCAAATAAAATCTCTATCGTATCCTCCAAGATACATTTATTACATGTGTTATAATGAGTAAATGGATAAATAGGGATAAACAAGTAAACATATTATAACACCTAAAATTAGTGAAACCTCATTTAAATTGAAACAAAAAACTATAGGTTCGTGGAAGAGAAATAATTATTTTAAATAAAATTTTCATTAATTTTTTCTCGCATATAATCCTTACTAGTAATTGACTATTTGTTATTTAGTTAACATAAGTTCAAATAGATTATAGAGTTTCATATAATAAAGTGTGTGATTAATTGTCCTTATGGATCCTAATTAGTATATTTATTTAATTATATCCCTTAAAAATCTTTAAATTTTTATGTTCAATTACTATATACTGTATTCAGTCATTTATAAAGATTCTTAGACACGCACATGCATGGAATTTTATTTGGTCATTCTTTTTTGGTTTTGGTCATTTTTTTTCTTTCTTTTTTTGTCTTGTTGCGTTATTAAATACATACTTCTAGCAATTCCCTATGCTAGTTATGTTCGTGGACTTGCACATACTACAATGGTTTATTTTACTTGTAATTATCACAAATTGTTCAACAAATACTTTCCATAGATACAAGAACCACACAACAGCACTTCTGCAAGTTCTTTTCTTCCTTCAAAACTAGGATCGGATCCGCGGTCCACCGCGGGAGAATATTGATTTACATACGTTGATTTTAATATTGTGCATGTTTTTAATAGAACGAATCGTGTAGTGTACTTATAAATATTCCTAATAACAAATTGTAAAGAAAATATTAAATTGTTTATAATTAAACCAATCATATTAATTATGATTTACAAAATGGAATTTTGTGTTTTAGAATTCAAAAATTAGACGAATCATGGGAATTAAAGCAGTCAAAATAGGTCCAATACCACGGGTCAAGCCCAAATCATCTCACTATTGAGCAGATTTGGGAAAATTTATTAAACCCGCAAATAAGCGGGCCACATGGATTGATTCGCATTGGGTCATCGGTTTTCATCCGCGGGTTGGCGGATCAACCCGCATGATAGTATTTATTGATAAAAATATAATTTATTCAACATGTGGTAGTTTAAACAACTTTTAATAAATGAAATTATAATATTTATAAATATAATGATATATAAGATTATAATCTCTAAATTTTTTCTAATTTATTTATTTCTTTAAATTTTGGTTACTCTAAAATTATTTAAAAAAAATCCACGGATAACCCCGCAAATCAGCATACATTCGCGCGACGGGTTTGTGTTTCATATATGCTACCCGCGGGTCGTGCGGACAGACTAACTACATGCCAAAATATATTTTGCCTATTGCAAAACAGGCTTAACGGGATGAATCAACTCGTTTTGACAGCTCTAATATAAATATTATTTAGTCATACAACACAATGGAGTTTGGACATAGGAATAATAGAATATGTATCTTATTTGTTAGATGAGAGATTGAAAGGTGAAATATAATGATTAAAAAATAATTAATATTTTTCATGATTTACAAAATTTAATAAATATTTATCATCTTGTTGAATAATTCTAAAAATCATATTCAAGAAATCTTTATAATTTGAAAATTAAACTTCTTTGGTAAGCTATAAGTATGAAAATACCATAATTTCGATTTAATCTAATTAAATTAAAATTAGTTACATATATTTCATATCTATTTAATTTACATGACCAAAATAAAAAAAAATCTATTTAATTTATAAAATAGATGGGTTAGTTGTGATAAATTTTCTAGAAATCTCTAGAAGCAAGTAAGATTTCTTTTAATTAATGATAACTCGCTAAAATAAGCAAAATTAATGTGAAAAACGTTGATTATTATGGAATTAGTTCCAAAAGTATATGAACAAATATATTATACGTAATTAATGTATAATATTGTTTGGAATATGATTTTATAATTAGTTACCATAAGTACAATCAAATTTTATTTGATTTCCATAAACATTTGATTTTAGTTCGATTTTTCATTATTAAATCGAATTTATATTCCAAAAAATTTTCAAAAATCCGATTTCAGAATTTCGGGTCAATTTTCTGATTTTGACCCGACCCATTTACATTTGTACTTCTCTTTTAATAGTATAGAGATATAAATACATAAATCACTAAAGTAATTTGATTAATAGTTTGCGAAATAAGAGAACATAAATGATACATTTTTTTTTCTCCATAGTCTAGCAAATCGAATTACAAACAACATCACCTATATATACATATATATATATATATATATATATATATATTTATATATAAAGTAAGATAATCTCTCTGATTTACACGATTTTTTTTATGTAAAAAAATATATATTCTGTTTTTGATTAGACTTCTCTTTTATTAAGCTCCATTCCGGTATTATTAAGCTCATCACGAAACAAATTGAGTTGTTCTCCATAACCCGACCAGTTAAAGTCTATTATTCATTTCTACATAGAAGAAGGTTATATTTTTCAATTTTTTGTTCTTATGTAAAAGTTTTGAATATAGTCTTGTGTTCTTATGACATTACATCATGCGATCTTTTGAGCTATTAGCTCAAACTCACATACTAAACGAAGCCAAAGAACGAACAAAACCGAACGAATTTTAAGAGAAACAAAGATTAGAGAAACTCTTAAACCGAAGAACAAGCGACTTCCCGACCTAAAAAGCTAATGTCAGAGTCTTTTGATCTCATCTTCTCGTCGGTTTCTCTATCTCTACCTCTGCGCGCATCAAGCACCAAATGTTGTCTAAACGTCGTGATGAACGCTTCTACTCTCTCGTTTAGCTCCTCGTTCGATAACCTCCCTGGCTCGAATTCATCTTCTTCTCCTTTAAAGTCTACTTCTTTCTTGTGAAACAAGCAATCTTTCACGGTTTCCTTGAATTCAGGACAAACCCTTCTCGTCTCCTCCACTAAAACACACTTCTTGATCACTTCCATTGGCTCAACGACTAAGAAATCTTGATCAGAACAAGCCGGTTCCACCACCATCCTTGTCTTCTTATTCTTACTCTTATTCTTCTTCTCTCGCATCATCCTCAATCTACCTCCTCGACGAGTCTTGAAATCATGAGTCCCCCCAGGGTTAGGACGAGTCGAGGTAAAGTAAACGGCTAAGAGAACGACATTGAGTAGAAGAAAGACCAAAGAACGCCATTGCTCGATCAAATACGATACAGAAGAAAAGTGTTTAAGACAAGCCATTGAAAGAACAACAACTGCAGTCAACAATGAAGTACACATGTTCTCTTCCTCCTTCCTCTCCACTCTAATGTCTCTCCTCATCTCCATTGTTGTCTCTCTTTAGCTCTGTTTTGCTCTGTTTCTTTTCTTCTTCGTCCGATCGATTCTTATACTACATTTCAAGATTCCTAAACAAGAATTTGGTGGGTCCGATTGTGGAAGACCAAATGGCGAACAGAAAGAACAAACTGAAAATGAAAAGACATGAGAAGGAGAAGGAAGAAGAAGGTGGAGGAGACAAAGAACAAGCATGCCCTTCAAATCTGCTCTTATTCTAGACATATTATTATTACTTTCTTCTCAGGCTTTTCTGATTTCCTCTGTTTCTTATGTTTGTCTGCTTTTCTTGTTTCCCTTTTTTCTCTTTGGGACCATTTTCCTTAAAACCAATCATTTTCAACTTCCACTATATAAAAATTTATTTCGTTTTTTTTTACAGAATTTTATTTTTCAATCTTAGTTTCCGGAATAAAAATAATTTTAAATTATGCAGGTTTTGGTTCACCTCAGTTTCTGGGATACTTTTTATAGTCTTCTTATAATTATGATAATTATTAAAGTTAATCACTAAGATAATTAATTTCCACATTGTTAATACATGCAATAGCTCAAAATTAGACTTGTCAATCGAGTAGATTGTCCGCGGATTAGTCCATTCCGCACCGCTAGAATAGTCACAAAAGTTTAGAACATTATTAATAGCCTTTTATTTATTTAACAAAAACGTAAATAATAAACATATGTATTTTGTTATATTTATGTTTTTATCATTAGTTTTAGTTGAAGTTTAAATATATGTACTTATTAATATGAATATGTATACAGTAAAACCTCTATAAATTAATACTCTATAAATTAATAACCTCTCTAAATTAATAAATTCTTCCGGTCCCGAGTTGGGACCAGTGTAAAATATGACATAAATCGATAAATTAATAAGATAATAATTTTTTTGAAAATCTCATATAAACATATGGTACCATCTATATCATAAATTAATAATTGTATAAACTTATCAATATATATATATGTATATTTAACTTAATATATATATATATATATATATGATATAAATTTATATATATGATATAATTTATATATGTCATATATAATTACTATAATATATATGTAAAATATTATATTTAAAAAAATTAATGAAATATGAATTTCTTATTCGAAAAAAGTTTGTGTTGTTGTTTAAACTTAATAATTGTTTCTCTACTTGCAATTGGTTTTAAAAAGATATTGCTTATAAAGAAAAATATATATTTTTGGATAGAATTTTTTTCAGAATTACAAAATTAGGAAAATCTCTCTATAAATTAATAACTATTAATTTATTGATAAATTAATACCTCTCTAAATTAATAAAATTTTCTGGTCCTAACATTATTAATTTATAGAGGTTTTACTGTATTTTGTAAATATTTAGTTTAAACAGAAAATATATTTTAAAATAAACTCTTGTATGGCTTGTGGATAGCTTGCAATTTTTGCCAAATCTTACAAAAAATAGAGAAGTGTTAGCTACTCAAAGTTAAGTTTAATGGGACCTCCATGCTAAGCTGAGAGGAGGGAACATTTTTGCAGAATTGGAAAAATGTAACTATAACCTTTTTTAGTTGAAAAATCGAATAACAATTTTACTATAAAATATAATAATTGAAACACATTGCACGCCTGCTCCTCTCTGGCATGTTATTTTTCTCATGGAGTCATGGTAGTGTGTGGCCCCATGTTTGTTCTTCTTCCCCAAACACATGCCTTTTCTGTTGTGCAAATGTTCTAATCCCAAAAAATATTATATACTTATATGTATATTGATATATAATTGCATTAAACAATTTTTATTCAAAATTATTTAACATAAATTTACTGACGACTTTTAAAATTAATATAGATTCATTCATTAAAAAAATTTAAATTTTATAATTTAATAATAGTATATACTTCTCAAGAATATAGATTCTTAGAAATATAGGGACAACTTCTCATGAATATGATTCTTTTGTACACTACCAAATGATGATACATCACTAATGTGAACTGCTGATCTTAGACGGAGTCTAACATCTCTACACACAAAAGTATAAGGACTTTTATGGACAATGAAGTGTATGATTGGTGAACGCAAGTGTTGGGTTATTTCCCAATTTAGTTCATATTTCTCTCTTTTACTCTCTCAATTCTGTTCGAATTCATTCAAATCAAGCAGAAATACATCGGCGTGTTTACTATTCACACTGTTTTACTAGAGAATTAGATGGTACATCTATTTGCCGAAAGAGACAATTTTCACGATACAAATAAGGATTTATCACAATTTTTGGACCTCCACATATAGATCTACAAAGCGTAGATGCAGATCTAAAGAGCATAGATTGACGATATGTTAAACATGTCCTAATTAGTTGAAGAGTTAATAGTTATCTATAAATTTAGTTACATATGCATGCACTTTCATAGAGTTATATAACGATCTATATAAAACCAAATTTATTAATAGATATCTACGCAATTAAGTTAGTGGTTTAAAATTTGTAATTTCTGCACACACGTTTTCGTTATAGATTCAAACTAAAGCCGGTCGCATTTAATAATCGTCACTTATTTCTATATGTTGCCGCGTAAAGGTCAATTCAACTGTTGAGCATTTATTAAATGTCAGATTTTTCTCCTTCTCCCCCACGCGCATTGACAAAATATGCATTGGTTTTTTTTGTAATAACTGACAAAACTAAACCCCTTTTCAATCGTTTTTTGGACGTCGTCAGAGACAAACCTCCCTATTGTCTATTTCCTAATTTTATACCCCATTTTTACCTCTGCACAAATGCACAAATTCACTCTATTGGTTTTGGTGTGTCTAGAAAAAATATGACTATTTTTTATCAAATTAATGGTTCTGTTCGAGGTTAATGGGCTTTTGAACACTTTCAAAACTCACATATTGGTTATGATTCTCCCTCATGTCACTAGAGGTGGAATCTCAAAAGCAAGAAACAACATTGGTTTTTATCACAATAAGGTGTCAAGATGGATAAATACATAATCCTAAGCTTTAAAACTTTAGTTCCCTTGCACCATCCATTTTGGTTTAACGATCCCTTTTGCGTTTCCTTTGGAATGTATACTTCACAAGGCGATTTCCGTCAGTTCTCGGAGACTCACTGATTTGATCTGATACCACTGCAGTAGCTTTCAAATCAGAACATGGATTGACCAACTGATCAGAGCTCATTTTGGTAGTTGGAACCACACTATCTTCTTCACCTTCACATTTTACCAACACGTCTTCTTTTCTTGATTTCAAGTCTTTATCTGTTGATCGATTTGTTGCATTCACACTGATGACAGTAGCATGTTTGGATCCTGACGTTGGATCCACAATTGAAGTTAACACAGGATCCAAACAAGGATGCGGCTTTATCTTAGTCTCATTTTTAGGTGTATCTGCCTTATTTTCACCATCCTCCACCACATGATCAGTATGATTTAAACCATCCAAATGTTCCACATACTTGCTTCTTTTCTCTTCACGGATGATACCGATACCATCAGCATTATGCTGCAAATGTTCTTCCAATCCTTTACATGCATTAAGTGCATCAACCTCCTCATTCTCTACCGACAGATGTGTCTCCATTGAGTCTTCGCCATCTGCATTTTCCAAGGATGTCTTGGTACTTTGGGACCTAACTAGTGAAGCTATTCGTTTACTCCACCTTGTCTTTCTCCTTCCTTGTAACTTGCGGGACTTCTTGATACCTAGTGAATTTGACGGCTTTAACGGTATCACCTCTGCATTCTTGGCTCTAAGAGCAAGAACAAGACATCTTGTGTTTCCTGAGCTCAAGTTTTCTTCACTTTCCTTTTCAGTTATGCGCCGTTCCTCTTCACTTGCAGAAACAGATGCTTTACTCCCCAAAGCATGAATCCTCTGTGTACACCCATTCCTCGACAGCTCAAGCTTCTTGTTTCCGATATTTGCATCCAATTCAGACTCACAAACCTTTGAAGTTTCAACACACAACCCATCAAACAGCATTCTGTCATTTCCACATTCATCATCATAGAATGAGCTCTGTATCAAAAGAGAGTCACTTGCAACAACCTCTGTAGCAGAAATGGTTTCATTGCCACAACATTCATCATCATTTAATGAGCTCTGATACACATTTCCAACAACAACCTCTGGAGCAGAAATGGTGTCTTGATCCTTCCTAGCTTTCTCCAATTTATCTCTAACCCATCTCAACTCTGACCTTAAATCAGTAATAATATCTTCAGCTTCTTGAAGCTGAGCTTCAAGCACATCAATCTGTTGTTGCTGGTTTGATGATGTAATCTCTGCTTCAATCGTCTGTTAAATCAATGAATAACAACAAAGCTAACAACTTTATCTAACACAAGAGAGACAAGAAAGTAAAAAAAGCTAACAACTTTATCTCAAGAAGATTGCTTTACCTTAGCATCAATCATCTGTTTTAATCGGACAAGTAAACGAAGAGCTTCGTCTTTAGTTCCGTGAAGATCGTGATGAAACTGAGCTGATTTTCTCTCGGAAACGATAACCCTAGCCGCTGATTCTTTCGCTGTGTTTAGAATCATCTCTGCGTAAGCTTTCTTTAAAGCTGTCGTTTTCTACAACAAACAAACAAAAAAAGTAAAAACGAAGCTCGTAATCAACAAGAAATGAGAAACCCAGATCGTTATTCGTTAAAGAAACCAAAAACACAAGATAGTCTTTTACATCGGACTCTTCCATCGTCACAATTTCTCCCGCCGAAGAGAAGAAAAAAGCTGTCGTCTTTTCACCGGTGGTGGAGTGGTCGGTTAAGAACTGACATGCTTTTTTCTAAGATTACTATTTTACCCTTCGCATTTTTTGGATTTATTTGAAAACGAGAATAAATGCAAAAACGACGTCGTTGTGTTTTTATATCGAAGGCATGAAACGACGTCGGATTAAGGGCATTGCTTAATGTATTGTGTCTACACTTTGCTTGTCTATGCTTATTTGCTTAGTGTGTGAAAAAACAAAGTTTTAGCTTATCTTTGATACATAAGGATTGGTTTGATTTCGTACTTTACTACTGCAACCGTCTTATCGAATCACATTACGAGATTTTGAAGATCATTCTAGCAAAATTAGGTGTGAAATTCTTAAGCAAAATTAACAAACACATCAGCTGAATAAAGTTTGTTTAGTTTAGCCCAAAAAAAAAAAAAAAGCTTGTTTCTTTTGGAGCTCATTGATGGAAATGAGAGAATCTCCATATGTTGCAAACTACAATGTCTTGATAGTTGATACATAGGTATGGTCGTTAAGAGGATATGTTGATGAAGCAAATGGTATTTTATACAATGATGTTACATTAAGATCACTATTACAAAAAAAAAAAATTAATAAACAAAAACAAACAAACAAAAAATGATGCACACGAAACTTGTGAAACAAGGCACCTGAAAACTGGGTACGTTGAAAGAATCATGGAAGCTGCTCCTAAATAGCCTGGAGTTTTGTATATTCAAGATGGGGAAGATCAATACCAAACTTTTGAATGAGAGATCTCAACCCGACCAAGACAAAGTCGATGAAGGCATCGAAAGTTTGATGTTTCATTGATCTTCTTTCTGGTTTCGTTCTAGGTCAAACAATGGTCTTAGTCTTCTTTCTACCTCGCTGCATTGTTGATCGATCTCACCTGCAACCATTGAGTAAGCAGAGTGGCAAGATTCATCGTCCCTGAATGCTAAAATCCATCTACCGTCTACTAGGCCTTTGGACTTGAGCTTCTCATAGACTCCTCGCTTTGTTGGATCCAACAACGGTAATGTAGATGGTCGGATTCTCAAGTGTAGCCATTTTGGGTGCTTTTCGTCAATTCGGGGCTAAAAAAACAAACAAAAGATGATAGATCATTTACAATGTTTATCTTTCGGTGCTTGCTGTGTGATCTTCACAAGCATTTTCATTAAATAAGAAGATGGCAAAGGTGATTACGTACTTTGCAGCCGGCTAAAGGTGCGGTTACACGGACAATTCCGTTATCTGGATCAGCAAGGACAATCCACCCAGACTCACCAGATGATAATGCTAGAAACGAGAAATCACGTTCCTTGCCTCTTTCAAAGGCAATCCTACAGGGTACAGCATCAACTGCACCAGGAAATTGCAAATATTAGATTCACTACAGATACTGAGACAAATCAATCAAACTGGAGTTCTAATAGATACAAGAGAAAAGATGGTGTAAGTAGGACAAGCATAAAAGCATCATGTGCTAACCTAGCTTCAGTTCGGTGCCAGGTTTGGGGACTGAAACATCCAAACCAGCAATTGTGGCACGAGAACTTTCAGATCGGTCGGCTGGAGGATGAATAGGAGGCTGCTCGGGTAAGGGCCTACCGAGCGAGAAGATTTGGAGTTGATGAAGAAGTACGAAAACCTAAGGAGGAAAGGATTGATTATCAAATGTCTGAACAACAAGCGCTGATAGAAATATAAAGAGAAATTGACATACCTTTACCACCTCGCACATTCTTTCACCTGCTGTGAATGATGATTCGCTAACAGCGTTATCTATAAAAGATTATCAGGTGTTAATGGTTTGCATAAACAGGGTTTCAACAAGGAATGTCCATATCATTCACATTTGTTATCAGCTAATTGCGCAAAATGTGTAATAAATATTCTACCATTAGAAGAGGATCTATCCAGCTGGAGAAGAACAGATTTAGGCTCTTTTTGAGGGGATGGAGCTTCGATTACTGTCAGAAAAGATTTGGTATCAGATTCATTGAACATATTCTTATAATCAAAATCCAACGTATCCAAAATTCGCTTCTTTACTTACCTCTTTTGCACTTTCTCCACTCATCAAGCAGTACTGTGATAAGTAGATCAGGCCAGGTACCTTTAATTTCCCGGGTAAGGGCACTTTTGCATTTCTCATACGAAACCTGCCATAAGCAGGAAACTGGTAAATAATCAAGAGAGGGAGAGGGGAAAGAGAAACAGTGTCAAACCAAAAAAATCTTGAAAGCAACATACATTCAGCATCTTGAGATGTTTGCGATTAAATTCTGCCTCGCTATAAGGAAGTAATTGGCGTAAAAGCCATCCTCCATCCCATAATGTTTCTGCAGATATGTTTTCTCGGCAGAGAAGAGTGACCAATGTATCCACCACCTACACCATATTTGTTATTAACTTAAGACAATAACTTTTGCACTGTTATGTAAAAGAACCAATCTTTAGCAGTTGGAATTTCAGAATAAGCTCGGCTAGTACGTTAGGTTCACATTCATAATTTACCTGATGTCTATGTACACGGGGGCACCTTGCAGCCCCAGGCAATGAACAGCACACTCCAAACTGCTCCTGTTGAAGGTACTTGAACGAATAAGTCAATCACAGAATAACACTGCACCAAAGAGATGGAGTTTAAGAGATGCAGTGAAGTACCTCCAACCTCCGTAGATACCAATCAAGTTCACTACTTAAGCCATCTCTCATAGAACCATTTCGCGGTGAAAACAATTGTTCTTCACCAGGGTCCTCCCCAACCAAAGATTGCTGTCAGATATAGCTACCAATTAAGTTTTGAATAAGAAAAAAAGGTTGTCCATATTTTTTGGTCCATGCTATAGTAGATGGTCCAGTAAAAGGTATTAGTAACATCCATGCAGATGAGATTTGCCCTGGCTTTGCTGGAAAAGATATTATGCACAAGAATAAAGGATAATGATAGAAACTCACCAGCAAAAGTTTTTTGTGCTGCTTACGCTGAGGAAGAATACCAAAAGCATCTAGCATTGACTCTTCAAGTTCTACCAAAATCAGAATGTAAGATGTCAAAACAAGAAAAGGAGAGAAGAATCTGTACAATGCCACTGCCAATATGGCAATACCTTTTGTCTGCAGCAAAGTGGCTAGCACAAACAAGGAACCCTGAGCTTGTACATCATCTCCCTCAGAAATATACTGAAGTAAAGTCTCCCTAGTTACAAAAAGAAAAAAGAAAAAAAACATCATCAGCTTAAAAGTTTAAAAAGGGACAATACTGAGACAGCATCATACGTAGCTTAAGGAGTGTAAAAAGCAACTATCTCAACTTCATTCACGGTCTTATTTGCTAACATGTTACCTAAACGTCATATGAGAATTGTTGAAGATACTTTTCGGAGTATCTTCACTGCAAACGTGAGACTTTCCATCCTCACTCATGACTGCAGTGCTTGAACACTGTTGATCTGCCTCCTCAGTAACACCCTTGTCTGGATGCCCATTTCCATATGTAAGGAGTTCAGGAGCCAAGCTGTTATTAGGTTTCACCAGGGAACTTGAAATGAATGCTTTTACAGGGCAGAAAAGAGTAGCAGCAGTCATATTTGCCAAATCTTTGATTTTAACTATCCGCAGGATGCATGAAAGCAGGTAGAGAGAAGTGACAGGATCAACTGATATATCCTGAAATAATCACAAAAGCAATACTTTAGTGAACTAAAAATGGTACTCTAGCAAATAGTCAAACCTAACAAGGCCACAAGGGTAAAAAAAATCCCAAAGGAACAAATAAATCACCCCTGAAAATAAAATTAAGAGGAAAAAGGTGATATTTTGTACATTTACAGCCTCGGAGCATAAAGACGGGAGAAGAAGTGGAAGAGTTAGATGCTGCAGAATGTGATCTGTTATCAGCCTCCCGATATCAGGTATGCCAGCAGAGATAACATCACTAAAGTAGTACAAGGTGTCCTCAATCCCATCAACGGCAGAAAACAATTTTCCACCTGAATCCGGAGATGGGCTCCTGTAGCAAGAATAATATGAAAATCTTTCATAATATAATTTACCCAGATCATACAGAAACAAACTAAGTAGGTAGATGAAAAGGGTTTGTGATAAGTAATGATCAATTTTACAAGCTATTTCCCTGGGAAATGAAATTGCACTGAGTCTTACTTTAGAGTGTTCAACACCATTGCACTTAGATCCATGCATTGCTTTTGGAAAAATGAAATTAATTTTGAAAAGTACTCGGTGTGCGGTGGACTAACTACATAATCATTCACAGATTCATCACCAACTGCAAAAACAAATTAAAAAGCATCAAAAATTTTGCTAAAAGTTCTGATTACGTATATCATACAAGTGAAAAGTCAAAAGAACTATTAGAACTGACTGACCGTGATATACATTAAGAGTCAGGGCACGAACTGCAGTGCGTATCATGTTCTCTTCATGAAATGCAAATTGTATGCCTTCGACATAAAGGGGGAAAGAAACTACTACATCCTAGACGCAGAAACGCAGAATTAAAATATGGCAGGAAAATCCATAAAGGAATATAAAAGTTAAAGGAACATGAAACTACAAGAATACTCACGTTCTCGGTCTTCAAAAGCAACGATATTGTATGCTTGTTTAGCTTCCCACTAACCGCTCTACATAAAACAAACAAAACAGTTATCGGACACAGTCGGTAAGTACTTCCTGAAGCCGAGACATCAGCAGGAAAATGTACCTTAAGAAGGATATGTAGTAAGATAGAAGCTCTTCGTGTTGGAAGTCAAATGTATATGTTATCAAATAGTTTACATATTCGTTACTGAACAAGTAATCTGCAAGGAGTTCCAAAGGAAAATCATCAATAGACTATAATCATGAGAATTCTCATAGAAAAATATAATGCATCTAATGAACTCACAGATGGCTTGTTCACTTTTTAGGTTTTGGATCATAATACTCATGGTTTGCAACAACTGTACGGAAACTGTTACCGTCTTGCTAACCCTCAAAATACGTACAAACTCTCCCATTACTTGTTTCTCCATAAAAAATCTGCAACAATGGCAAATATTAACAAATGCCAATAGAAAAATCTAAAGGTACTGACTGATAATTAGCAAAAAGACTCACTCAAAGAATAAGGGGTCATGCTGATCACCATAAGTTAATATCTCCGCAATCGATCTCAGTGCCTCGACAACGAGATCCTTCAAAAAATGACACCCGGTAAACAAACATCAAAGCCTAACAAAACAACAATGCCAAGGGATTTGCTAAAATGCAAAGACTTATGTCCACTAACCTTATTAGCATCGTTCACTATCTGAATCTTTCTCAGCTGGTCAGTCAAATACCTATATAAAAAACAAAACCAAACTTTCAACAATTACTACGTTTCATCATCATCTGGTATAACAACGAACAACTAATGTCGTAGCACTACGATCTCAATGAACTTCCGCAAACAAATCATTCTCCTATGGTCAGGTCAAGATAGTCCCTTTGACCCCTGAAACTGGGGAAGATGAACTTATATAGTTACCCTACAATGGCACCACTACTCAACACATCAACCATTCCACTTCCCAAAAGCCCTAGCAACTAATTGCAGACTACCAATTCTAATACCAAAGAGTCTACCAGTTCCTTAAAAGAACCATTTTTTTGCCAGAATTCACAAAATCTCTCAAGAACTCACAACCAAAAGATAATCTCAACCACAATTGAAATTAAACCCAACAGAAATAAATCGCAAAAATTGAAACTTGTAGCAAAATCGAAGACGATCAAAACAAAAATTGAAACCTGAGTTCGGCTAAGGAGAATCGATCTCTGGGTCTTAAGAAGGAAAGCCACATGATTGTTTAAAAATCAATCCTTTGAAAGTTCCAGTCTTCTTCTCTGGATCATCCTTCACTCTCGAGAAAACCCAAATTCCATAATTGCTTCTCGTCGATCAAATCAATTTCCAGAAACTCTGATGAAATCTGATCCAGTAAAACTTTCACCGGGATCAAAATCATACAATATCGAATCGTGTATCGAGCGGAATAAAAAGTTCGAATTTTTCGAATGATTTTGAGATGTTTCTCCGGTAAACAACAGAAATTGTTGACGGCAATTGAAGCACCGAAGTGGGTTGAGAGCTGGCGTTGGATTCGGATTCGGATCCGGGTCGGGTTCAATCTCGAATTCAACGAGAATCTTCAATTGAAGAAGATCCGTCTTTGGCATTTAATTTAATGGAAACATTTATTTTCACGTTGGACCCTCTGACTAAAGAAGAGGCTTCTCGATAAGCCATGAATCACAACCGCCACGTCATACACTTTTCTTTTTAAAAAATATTTAAATTATTATTATTTTATTTTATTTTTTACTGGAAATTTTTCAGGAGACCAAAGAATTTTTTTTTGTCAATACAAAAAATTTATAATAGCAAAAAATGAATAAAATCATAATGGAATGACTCAAACTCTATCAAAAACGTGTACTTGATTTAAATTTTTGAATCTTTTTCAGTAATGATCAATAAATAAGTTTATTTATCTTATCTATCAAAACATGTATTGTTTTGTAGCACATCTGTATTCACTTCTCAGTGTCTTCAATCAAATTTTCAATTATTTTTTTATCATTTGTATGTCTTTTCGGTTTTCCGAGTTGAGTAAAAAATATTACTGAATTAGAAGAATCAAAATATTTATAATTTGACAAAACTTTGGTTTGGTTGGATAATTACGAATAAATATTAATCGTAAATTACGAAATTTGTCATTTCTTTCTTGTTTCGAATTGCAAGAAATTCACGTTTTAATTACATATAGCGTTACAAATCAAAGTTTGTTAAAAACTTTACGAAAATAAATAAATCAAAATCCCTTATGTAATGAGTAATGACACACTGACACATAAATCCTTTGGAATATTGTTTATAAATTGTTTTAAATACTTTCTCTCTTTAATTTGTAAAATCTTACTTCGATTCTGCGAAAACGACGGCGTCAGTATATATTATTCGTTTATGTGTCGTTGTGTTGTTCGTTTGACTGTTGCTGCAAGCATTCGTTATATTTTTAAAATTATTAATTTGTGACAAATTTTATTTTAAAATAAAAATATAAAAATAATTAATCAACAATATATCATACACCATTAAAAATATATTTTGTGATGTATATTTGATGACGAGATCGGACACCAACATTATTCTAAATTTGATTTGAGCCAGAAGGAGCATCTTGTCAAAACGACCATTTTGAGGACGTCGAATGATCAACCAACTTATAACAAGTTTTATTTTTCACCAAAAGTGATACAATAGAATAATATAGAAGTTTTTAGTGCATCTATAAAATTATAAAAAACACTTGAGTAATAGACACAATTAATTTGTTGAAAGTTTCGTTGGTTGAAAAACGAAGGCCACTAGGGTGGGAGATAATTATGCTAAGGTATATTCACATCAAAATATATGGATGGGCCTATCATATTCATAGCAATTGTGTTCGTATATAGGTAGGTTAGTTAAAAACTATTTAAAATAATATCCTGAAAATTCCTACTTGTTTAATTTAAAAGTGCATATTTGATCAGACCAAACCCATACACATCTAAACGTCACTAAACCCCATTTGCTCTCACCAAATTGTCTACGGTGACAACACCACACGAACACATATGCAATAATAGTATCGATTATTAAAATACATATGCATATATTCATTTTTGAATCTAAGCAAAGATCATACACAAACTCCACTAAGATGCAAATTTGTCTCTCCTAATCCAATTGGATCATCCTCAAGGATGTATACATAATTCAACTTCTTGTCCACTAGGATTAATGTTGGAGACACACATTTCATTAGTAAAAAAAGAAAAAAAGAATAAGTAACCATCTCTTATATAATGGCTAAAACATTGTTATCCAATGACATTTGGACTAATAAGTACAAATAGTGTGTAATCCAAATAGATCATTTGGACTAATAATTGCAAATAGTGTGTAATCCAAATACTCCATATATCATTTGGAGTAATAATTGCAAATAGTGTGTAATCCAAATTTTGGACTAATAATTGCAAATAGTGTTTTTAGAAGTGTGAAATCTAGTAAATATAATGACGTCTATCCAGATATCTTGATAATGGAATTAAACTCTAAGTGTCTTTTTATCCATAGATTCAAGGATTCTTAGGAAAAATACAATTTTTTTTAGACAAATGTTACGAACATGTCATTTTTTCTAAAATTTTACGGATTTATTATTTTTAAACACTTAAAAATGTTCAAATTTACGATTTTGTTTTGCTAAAATATATATTTCATAATAAATACTAAACCCTAATAACTAATAAACCGACTAAACCTGAACATAACGGATAAAATACATGTTAAATTGTATTTTTATAGCCTGAAAAATGACAAATCCATAAAATTTTAACAAAAATGGCAAATCCATAAATGTCACTCTAAAAAATAACAAATTCATAATTGTTTCTTTTTATTTTGTTCAAAACATTATTGATTCTTCTATGTAATGATAATTTTAATATCTTTACCAAATTAAACATGTCATTTTATTGTTATAAAAATGCCACACGCCAAAAAATTGTGTAAACATTTTTTTTTGAGTTCACACAAGCATATAGTTAACGGCAAAAGTCATTTTAAAGTTAACTAAATCTTTTTTTAATCTGATTCATTAATTAAGGGCTAAAGCAAAATAATCCATGTAAAGAACATCAGTTATAAAACAAGTTAAAAAGGAAAATAAATTATATTTTAATATAAATAATTCACAAATTCCTTTTGTTTGGCAAGAAAAAAAATTTCTTATAGTAATCAAAATTTACTAATTTAACAAACATATATTGTGTTTATATAGAAGGGTTTTGTGCAAAAAAATCCTCCAACTCGTTCGTTTTTGCAACTTTATCCTCCATCTCCGAAAAATGCAGATTAATCATACGAAGTCCAAAAAAAAAAGCAATATAACCTTTATACTTATATTGTAAACGTTTTTCCGGTCACATATATTAGTTTTTTAAATTCTAAAGGTAGAGTTGAACTCTTCATCGCGAGGGCTTCGATTTGATATATTATTTGTCAAAATTTTACGAACTTGATGGTAGCGAATAAGGATTGCATTGCGTATTAATTTAGACTTCGTAAGATTAATATTCGACGATGGATAAAGTTGTAAAAATGGGTGAGTTAAAAAGTTTTTTTTTTTTTGTATAAATCCCTATATAACAATGATCAATTTATAAGACAAGTCAACTAAAGGAAAAAAAAACTACTCGAGTATATAAATTTTTTTCAAACAAAAAAGAGTGGACAATGATGGAATTTCGTTATAATTGCTTTGAATACATTAAATTAAAAAATTACTATATTTTCCTAGTCACAAGAATGAACAAAGAATAATAAAAATAAATAAAAAAGACATCAAAGTCGACGACTACTGTATAATCCTTGCGAAGACCGTTCAACACGTCTGACTTACAGGCTTCTTGTCTCTCTGCAAACTTATACACAAATCTTTAATTCTTAATCCAAACCCAAAGAAAAAACTTCATCATCAATGGAAGAGATCGGCTCAAAACCAAGAAAGTTACTTCCTTTATTCTTCATCTTCTTCCTCTGTTTTTGTTGTCCTGTGATGGCTGCAGATGAAGACGACATAAGATGCTTAAGAGGACTCAAAACCTCTCTCACCGATCCTCAAAACGCGTTGAAATCATGGAACTTCGACAACACAACTCTTGGGTTTCTCTGTAACTTCGTTGGTGTGTCTTGTTGGAACAATCAAGAGAATAGGGTTATCAATCTTGAGCTTCGTGATATGGGTTTATCTGGTAAAATCCCAGATTCTCTTCAATACTGTGCGAGTTTACAAAAACTTGATCTTTCTAGTAATCGATTGTCTGGTAATATCCCTAAAGAGTTGTGTAATTGGTTACCGTTTTTGGTGTCTCTTGATTTGTCGAATAATGATTTGAATGGTGAGATTCCTCCTGATTTAGCTAAGTGTAGCTTTGTGAACTCTTTGGTTTTGTCTGATAACCGGCTTTCGGGTCAAATCCCGGTTCAGTTTTCGGCTTTAGGGAGGTTAGGGAGGTTCTCTGTTGCTAATAATGATCTCTCAGGTCGCATTCCTGTGTTCTTTAGCTCACCGAGTTATTCCTCTGATGACTTTAAGGGGAATAAAGGTCTTTGTGGTCGTCCTTTGTCGAGTTGCGGTGGATTGAGTAAGAAGAATCTTGCGATTATCATTGCAGCTGGTGTGTTTGGTGCTGCTGCGTCGATGTTGTTGGCTTTTGGGATTTGGTGGTATTACCATTTGAAATGGACAAGAAGACGAAGAAGCGGTTTAACCGAAGTAGGAGTTAGCGGTTTGGCGAAGAGACTTCGTAGTCATAAGCTTACTCAAGTTTCTTTGTTTCAGAAGCCTTTGGTTAAGGTTAAACTTGGGGATTTGATGGCTGCAACTAATAATTTCAGCTCAGGGAACATTATTGTTTCCACTAGGACTGGAACAACGTATAAGGCGCTTCTTCCGGATGGTTCAGCGCTTGCGGTGAAGCATTTAAGCTCGTGTAAGCTCGGTGAGAGGGAGTTTCGGTATGAGATGAATCAGTTGTGGGAGCTTCGTCATCCTAACTTAGCGCCGCTTCTTGGATTCTGCGTTGTGGAAGAAGATAAACTTCTTGTTTACAAGTACATGTCTAACGGGACGCTTCACTCGTTGCTGGATTCAAATGGGGTTGAATTAGATTGGTCAACTCGGTTTAGGATTGGTTTAGGTGCTGCAAGGGGTTTAGCTTGGCTTCACCATGGATGTCGACCTCCGATACTTCACCAAAACATTTGTTCAAGTGTGATTCTCATTGACGAGGATTTCGATGCAAGGATTATAGATTCAGGGCTTGCAAGGCTTATGGTTCCCTCGGATAACAATGAAAGCACTTTCATGACTGGTGACTTAGGAGAGTTTGGTTATGTAGCTCCCGAGTATTCCACCACAATGCTAGCCTCACTAAAAGGCGATGTATACGGACTCGGTGTTGTCCTCTTAGAGTTGGCTACAGGGCTAAAAGCTCTAGGACGCGAAGGCTTTAAAGGGAGTTTGGTGGATTGGGTGAAACAGCTCGAAAGCTCAGGAAGAATCGCTGAGACATTCGATGAAAACATTCGTGGGAAAGGACATGACGAAGAGATCTTGAAATTTGTTGAGATTGCTTGTAACTGTGTGAGTTCAAGACCTAAAGAGAGATGGTCAATGTTTCAGGCATACCAGTCATTGAAAGCTATTGCTGAGAAACAAGGCTATTCGTTCTCAGAACAAGACGACGACTTCCCTTTGATTTTCGACACGCAAGAGAACGAGACAATGTGAAAATGAACCTTTATGATGGGAGGAGGAAATAAGAGTATTACCAGGAGTATAATTATTTGTTGTCTATATTTTCTTGCACTACTTGTAGAGAGACTATATTGTAAAAACAGAAGTGTATATGTTATTTGTTTTCTCTTGTATCAAAACCTTTAAGACATGTTATGTTGCTTTGGTGTTTATATCAAACACTAGATTCTGAGGATAACTGTTACAAGAGTTTAAAACATGTTTTGTTTGCAAGTGTGTCTTTTCTATAGTCTTGGAAAAGTGACAAAACAGTTTTTCACTAGTGTTTTCTTTTAAGAACAAAAAGAAAGTGTACAACAGGATAAAGAGAGATTTCTCTGCAGAATCTTACTTTAGGGGTCTGCTTCTCGATACAGTCAAAATCAATCCCAGAAAAGAAGCTAAAGAAGGCAAGAAAGAAAGAGAAAGAGAGGTTATAGCATCTATGGTCACTCACTCCTTTTGAATTTCACTTTGTAAGATGCTATCAAATTACACAGAGAATATAAGATTCCCAAAGTTCACAAGAACCCAAAAATGCAAATGTATGTGATTCTAAAGTTGTGCAAGGACAAGCTTCTATTAAGAAGCAATATCATTGGAATGGGAAATATATAATAAGAAACTAACAATCAGTAAATTAAGGGAAATTTTTGATTTTTTGAAAATGGAGCAACTTTAGTTAATGGTTTGCTTTAGCCAGAGGAAACATAAAAAAGCAAACTTTAAAGTTAACAGATTTATAAAGAAAAGGCAAATAAAGAAAGATGAGGAAAACAGGAAACAGAGAGTTAGATAAAGACATAAGCCTATAATAATTAATACAAATGTTATTACAAAACCCTACAAAGCCCTTAAGAGTCTTTAATATCTTCTGAATGTTTTCAATCTTTAGACACAGTGTTCCAAAATATAAGAGAGAGCAAAGACTTCACCTTCCAAAATGCTACAGAGTAAGAAGAGACCTTTCACAAAGCTATGAGTTCATAGCATATCTCTGAATCTGAAGTTATGGATTGCCCCAGAAAAAATAGTAGCTTCTTGACGTGGAAATGTAATTGAAAGGTCGCATACTTCACCGTGTCTCGAAACGGTAGAAAAAAACCGAAAATGAACGAAGCCCGCATGAGATAAAACATTACAGTTATATCATACTCTTGGTGGCCGTCTCGAAGTTTCTGCTTTCCTGAAGAAATAGTTTTGAAACAAAAGCTATCAGTAAAGTTGAGTTCTTTAACTAAAGTGGTCAAAGTTCTTCACAAGTGCCTTTAATTCTCTTAAGGCATAAAAATTAGATAAAGAAGAAGCTTTTACTAAAACATGATAACATTATCTGCTTTCAAAAGACGAGTTCTTTAATGGACACAAAATGTATAGTGACACTGAAAAGAAGGAAAGAACAAGAATTCTGCATGCTAATGATCTTTTTAGAAACCAGTGATTATCGGTATCTGTGTAAAGTGACACCCAAAAATCTTGAATTGAGGAAACACTAATAGATTTTGTATAAACGTACATAAACCAACTTCAAGACAAAAATTCTCAAAAGGCTTGATCTCTGATAGCAAACAAACTCAAAGAAAAGACTATAGAAGGTTAAAATTCGAGAGAGAAGATTGAGAACCTGTTGTGGATAGGATCAGGTCCATTTGGAACTTTTCGCTTGCTCACATGAAACAGATTCACATCCTTACCACTAAACTGCAAAGTCTTGACATGTTCTGATGATGGAACACTTGGTGCAGAGTTTGCTAAGATACCGACAAGAAGAAACACAATCAAACCCAAAGAAACAACACCTCCAACCAAAGCTCTAATGCCATTACCACCCATACTGCAACCAATGTCCCTACAGCTTCCTGTTTAACATAAACAACTGACCAACCAAACCCAAGAATAAACTGAGCAGAACATCCATGATGTTGGTGAAGTGACTGTCACATAAATAGAGAGAGAGATCTTTGGACAGAAGAGGCTCAAAAAAGTGGAAAGCGAAATGGGAAGCAAAAAACAAGCATTTAGGTTGTTTTTATATACCTTGGAAGACAAATCCGTGATTGGCCCTATTTAAAGATGAAGCACACAAAGCAACAATATACATACGTAGGTGTCCACGTAGAGAGAGAGAGGAGGCAAGAGCAAGTGAAAGTTAAGAAAAAACATATCTTTATGTAACATATGGGCCCGTTGAGTACCTTTTTCTTTGCTTTGATTTGTGAATTTTCATGCAGCAAACCATTGGGGACCTCACAAGCTCCCTTAACTACATATATTTTAAGCCATTTTAAAAGCAGAGGACAGTGTACCTTTTGTGACTGAGTGTATTAGCAAGCCTACTACTTTCCTTACCACTATCTTAAAATCACTTGGATGTTTCCTTTAAACAATAACAAAATCAATTAAGAATGTAACAAGACACAAGTAAAATAACCAAACCTGTGAAAAGGAGCTAGAGCTACATTTTTTCTTCCTTGTTAAGTATTCCCTCCCTACCAAAAGCCAATTAGCAGTAAAGAAATGTATGCTTCTTCTTCATAACCTTTAAACTATTAACTAAAGCAAAACGATTTAGAAACATATCCAAATTGTATAAAAAAAAGAATCTATATCTGATTGACAGCTAGGGAAGATTGAGCCAGTTTGTTTCCATGACACAAGCAAACTTCCTTTTGGCCTTGGTGGGAAAGAGAAGCTTGCCTTCTAACATAGTAAAGCCAAAGTTTGAACAGACCTGGCCCCACAATTACATTACTATATATCTGTTTCCCCTATATCATTTAGGGATCTTACACATGGTCAGGATAGTGTCCTTATAGTATTGATTCTCACAGTGATAGTGTGAGCAAAGCCTTGCCAGTATTGCACTCTAGAGGTGTCAAGTTACATGCTCAATTGAAGAGTTATGCACCAAAGTAGATTAAACCAGAAATAAAGAAAGAATGATTCAACACATACCTCAGTTACGTCACTTTCGGTAAGGTTTTCTTTAATCCGAAGTGATTCTTAGGATTGTTATTGATGTATACAATACAATAAATATAGAAATCATGAGTAGCAAGTTGCTCTCTCAGACCTTAGGGCATCAAAAGAAGCCATATGTAATGGAAAAAAAGGAGAAACTCTTAACTGACTTCATATCTCAAACTGTAAACAGCTATATCTCTACTTCACAAACATACATGGCGTCAATCTAACCAAAAAAAAAAAACACATACAAGCCGATATACACCATTACCGATTTTTGAACTATCATAAGACTGCAACTTGTATCCATCTTTAGGATTTGGCAACAAACAAAATGACTGATGGACAAAAGCACCTGCAAAAATTTAACCTGAGGAACTAAGAATATGTGACATGAAGAAAAAAAAACTGAAGACAAAATGATCATGTATGTCATGACAGAAGTAAAAGCTCCTAATCAAAGCTTTGAAATGTAATAGCCAGAGGATTAGTAACATATATATACTCATTTACATTTGAAACACTTACTCTAGTATTCAAAGGTTGGAACGAACTAGCTCTTAAGTCACAGCCTCTGTTCATTGCCTTTCACCGGAAAAAAATGGCCACATATAACTGTTGAAGTTCACTGTGGCTTTAAGATTTTCTTGGCTTCTGAGCCCATTTTGGTCCATATATGGCCAGATGTGTCCGGCCAAACCTTCGATCAGTCATCTGTAAGAAAATTTTCTCATCAACATTCATGCAAACCCTGTTCATCAAACAAGTAGTAAAAGGGAAATAATTACCTTTTCAAGGCATCCACATGAATCAAGCATTGTTGTTCGTGAAGGGTACTCGACCACCTAGATCAGATTTGGTCCAGAAGAGCATGAGTATTACACATTGACCCAAAATCGTTATAAGATGGTTTAAAAAGGGAAACACATAGCTACTCACAATAAATGTATTTTCCCCAATTGCTGGCGACTTAGCAATCTGATCCATCAGAACCTCATAATCAACCTCCATGTAAGGTGGTGTAACGCTGATATAATCAAACGCTCCATCCTTACCTGATAGTAAAGAAAAGTTTTGATATAGATACTATTTAAACCTGAAATTGACAATAACGTCTTCAAGACTAGACATACCTACTAATTTATCAGCACGTTCCAAGAAGTTTTCAACTCGAGCAGTGTGTATAACCGAAGCATCAACAAACCCAGTGTGTTCCAAGTTTGGTTGTAGAACATTTGTAACAACCCAAGGATCCATCTCAACAAAATGTGCCTGTGGAGAAGTAATTCAAACAAATGTTTAGTAATCACCTAAATATAAGAATGTCAAACAAAGATCATACAATCACAGTTACTTATTTCTTTGCTACCTCAGAACATCCTCGACTGATTGCTTCAATTCCAACAGACCCTGTACCACTATACAAATCCAACCACCTACCAGGACGCAGAGACGTTGGACAACCACCAGCAGCCTAAAGAATGACGAAAAGAATCATGTTAACCTCAGAGGTAATAACTCGGATACCAAAAAAAGCAGAAGCTCCTATAACTAGTAAACAGTCATCATTTTTCATTACTCTTACCTGGAGAATTCCAAAAGCAGCTCCTTTAACAACTTCCATCATAGGTCTCACATCCATTCCCTTAAGAGAAAGCAATTTCTTTCGTTTCGCCGTTCCTGCAAGAACCTAAACACTCGACACATTGAAGAAACCCAACAACAAAAACCCCAAAGAAAAACACAATGATACAAGCAAATTCACACCTGAAGTAACCTATGAGTTGTTCTTGGCTGTACAACAACAACTTCTTCTACTTGTAGACTATTCCTTCCACTCATTTTCTCTTCTTTCCTTCTCGCCTTCTACAACAAGAACTAAAAGTTTCACCTCTCAACTATTCATCACAAACCATAACGAAACAATTACGGATAAAAAAAAAACCTTAGATTGAGACGCAAAGTCATCATTAGCATCATAACCATATCGTTCCAGCAACAATTTCTTATCCTCGCTTGCTAAACCAGTTCCTGAATCTGCAAACCCACAAGACATAAACTGAGAAAAGACAGACCTTTATGAAATCTCTATGAATGATTCATGAAAGATGCAAACTTTCACACTTTTACGGCTCGAGACGACAGATTTTCGAATACGCAGTGGAGTAGTAACCCTAAAGAAATGAATTTGAGGGAAAGAAGAATACGAGACACCCAAATTCTTATTGATTGCTAGTGGAGAGACTATGGGAGATGATAACAAAACCGCCATAGCTAAAAAAGTTTTCGACTTTGGAGATTTGCAGAGAAGACGAATGATAGATATAGAGTTAAACCCTCTTTTAGAGCCAGAGGATCTGTTCCTTATGTATTTCAAGAAACTTGGTACTAATAATAAGAGAAGAGATATAACTTATTGAAAAATCATAGTTCTTGAAAATCATAAATCAGTTACAAGATAAGTAACAACAACAATAATGAAAAGAAGAGATCTAATAGTCGAAATCATTCAAGAGTTGAGGAAATTGTGATAGCATCTCTTGGTCTTTGTCTAGTATTTCGTCCACGAATGAACTCGCGGAATGACATGTTCCCGTGGTCTTTGAATCGATGTTTTGAGAGATGTATTCGGCTTGGCTGTTGAAATGATGCTCGTTTTGCGCGAAAGTGAGGTCGCTTGTAGCTGAGGATCCCACTACTTGAGGAACCGGATCCGATAGAAGGAAATCGCTCCAGTAAAAGTTAGTAACCGGTGTTTGAGGCACTTGGTTTGGCTGAGTGATACTAGCTGAAGATGATGATGAAGAGCATGAAGATGTGGTTCCATTGAGCAGATTATTTGGACGGCTAGAGAAATGAAATGGAGTAGTTTGGAATTCAGACGAAGCGGAATTTGTAAACATCATAGGAGAGTTGTAATAACTCTCATGGTTTGTTGTTGTGTTCCTCATCATTTCCCATGCTGAGTTAGATTGTGTGAGTATAGAGTTGTTTGATGGTTCTGTTTTGAAGGATGCATTTCCATGGCCACTAATGTTTCTGAATTCTGAAAGGACTTGAGAAACCGGTTTATGAGTCACCGGATCTATCCCCATTTTCATCAGTTTCTTCTTCAGCTTCGTGTTCCAGTGGTTCTTCACATCGTTATCCGTTCTTCCTGGAAGCTTTCGCGCAATCGAAGACCACCTGAAAACATCAGAGGTTATTATTATTAACAATCTGAAAGTATGTTTGATAGATTCTTGTAATTGTGAAAAAGTTAGTTAACAATTAGGTTGCTTCATTTAATTACCTGCTGCCAATGATTTTGTGACACTCAATGATAAGCTCTTCTTCTTGGGGAGAGAAACTGTCATGTTTAAGGTCAGGTCTTAAGTAATTAGTCCATCTCAGTCTACAGCTCTTTCCACATCGATTCAGGCCTGCACCGAAGAAAGCAAAACTAAGATATCAAATAAGAAGATGAGACTCTTGAAACAAAGGAGAGATTGTTTAGGAAAAGACCTGCTTTTTTGGGGATCAAACTCCAGTTTCCTACACCATGGATAGCAACATAAGCAAGGATCTTAGCGTCTTCTTCCTCGGTCCAGAGACCTTTCTTGACATTGGATTTGTCACAACAAGGAGGCCTTCCCATTTCTTTTTTGGGTATTCAGACACAAGAGAGGAGATGGAGAAGAATAAGAAGCTGAGAAATGTCTGAAAGTACAACAACTAAGGCTTTATGGAAATAGAGTGATGCAATGCGAAAGCTCTGAGACATGTCTAGGGAGAGAGAGAAAGAGAGAGAAGGTGAGGATCTCATGCTTGAAGGCTCCTAATTAACGGTAATTGCATGATTGTTACACTTCATTAGAAATATAGAGAGTCTCGAAGTGCATGACGTAGTTTTCACAACCATATACACTACAAATTGTATTCTGATACATAATTCAGTTATCATGTATTGCTTGCTTGAGGTTGATGATAATATAAACTGACTTTTATTAAGTTTTGGTCTAATTATGAACCATAAGGAACATGACTGGTAACATAGAATCAGAATTATTGTTTTAGTATATTGTTATATAATTCATTCTATTGACGAAATGTTTATCTACCCGAATGGCGAAAACCCGGTTTTTCGCTGTACAAAAATTTTGATCCTTTGATAAGAGCTTTGATTTTACTTGTTGTTGTTGTTCTTAAGATGAGCAAGCGTTGCAACTCTTTCTGCAATATCCATGGTCTTTGTCTGAACCAACCATGTATGTTGGATTCTTCTCGCATTCCCCTGCCTTTGCCCATTTTTCGCAGCTCTCATTCTCGTTCACACACCCAGATTGCTTCTTAAACGCTCTGTCGAATGACCTAACGTGAATCCATCTGGTTGCTGACCATTTCTCTCCCTCAACCACTGGACAGCTTCCATGTAAGCTATTTGAATCTGTCGTTGCATTTGGGTGTAGGTTGAAGAACAACAATGCGTCCCCTTTCCTTGGTTTCACTGCAATGAAAGATATTCAGATTAGTGCAATATACCATTTCGAGAGATAGTTGTACCTTTCATTATAACTGAATCATAGTACTACAATCCCATTTGTGTTGAGCTTTTAATTTACCATTTTTCACATTTAAACCAAACGCATGATTAGGATACAATTCTATATCAAGCTATATACAGTGATTTTACCTGCATAGCCTTGTTTTGCACATTCGGTCCAGCTATCGTCTTTCAACTGAGTTGTTTTACCCTATAAGAATGTGTGATCAAACTGAAATGAGGCTACTCAGGTAATGAAATCCAAATATTAGATGAGAATTCATGGAACCAGAAGTAATATATGTCTTTACCTTCCACATGGGAAACACTGTTTCTCCGCCCTTTTCAACATTGGACAAGTACATCAATACAGTGGCGATCCGATGACCACCGAGCTCTAGATTGGCCTGGTCGTGAAAGTAGTCAAAATGCGGTTCATATTTTTGACCATTCTCATAATGCAATATTTGCATGGATTCCCCATTTTCTTGATCCCCAACACAGGAAAAAAGAGATGAGAAGTTGTAAGCTACTAAAGGCTAAGGTAATAAACAGAAATCGGAAATATATGTACATATGGTCAGAAATACCTTCGGGAATAAAGGTCCACGCAGCAAGTTTTGCCTCGACATTTGCTACAATATCATCCTGCAAAGATAGAACCTTATCATTCAAGCTCAAAGGTCAACAATCAGTGGATCACACAGCCTTTAGAATATCTAGATTTGCATTCAAGCCACTACTTTATCTAACCGCAGAAACAAAATCCCACAGTGTTGCAGAAAAATATGATTAACTGGTCCAAGCATATATTAGTAACAGCGGACGAGTCTGTCTAACTAGTGAAGTAAGCTAGCCCAATACAGTGCATACAAATGCAACACTAGACCTCATAACAGCAATCATTCTCATAAATTCAACTGATTGTGCACGAAAACCAAACATACAAATCAATCCAGGTATAAACCACAGCTTCTAAAAAGTCATTCGAAAGCTTTACGATAGCCGAAAGATATGTTTTGAAGTTTGAAAGTCACCTGTCTTTTGGATAAAAACATTCCTGAACTTGTGCGTACTTCACTCTCTACACTCTCACCAGAATCATTATCAGCCACCATTGACTTCTCAAGCTTTCCTTTCGCCTAAAAACCAAAACAATCACTTCCTTGATCATTATCATCATCATCACTACTTCTTAAACATCAACACAAAGTAAATGTTTAAGATTTCAATACCAATTTGATAAAGTGATCACATTCCTCATCAGAAAGAAACCCTTTATACAAAAAAGCTCTGCAAAAACCACAAAAATTAACACAAAACCAAAAACAAAGATTCAAAATTCAGATAACACACAAAAGCAAACAAACCTAGGAGTCCAAGAGAGTTGAGTAACACGAGTTGGATCAAAACCAAAAGAAGAAGCACTTGTTTTCATCTTTATGACTGACCCATCTCTGCAAAATATAAAATTTCTCAGTCAAAACCAAAATTCGAAGAACAGAATCGAATCAATCTCAAATCAAAATCAAACCTATTGTTACTCGATCGAGTGAGGAAACGGTTAGGAGCAGATGAGATTTTGGAGAGAATGAAGAGAAAACAGAGGGAAAATGCGAGAAAATTCCGAGAATCCATCGGGAAAAATTTTCGTGAGAAAGACTTGTTGGTGAAGAAGAAGACCAAGACGATGAATTGTGTAATTGTATTCTTCTTCTTAGTCTTGACCCAAAAGTCTTTCTTCTTTTTAATTTGTTTCCCATAGTTTTGAGATTTAACAGTTTCGTCCCTTTTGAAGTATTTATGACGCCCACTGTATTTATCTCTCTGCCAGTCTGCATTCTGTTTTTAATTCCCGTTGACTAAGTTTACTTTTGTTAGGTTTATTCTTTTAACTTTTTAACTCTTTTTACCAGAAAACAATTTAATTTCTTTTGTTGATAACTAATAGAGTTTTTGAGTTTTTAAATAGGGCTATATTAATTTAAATACACAGAAGATTTAAAAATTAAGAATATACCTTTAGTTTTTGTATTATTAGTTCTATCTCTTCAATTTATGTAAGTTGGACGAAAATGCCCCTCCACATATAACAAACTAGTTAACGTCATAATAAAATAGATATCGACATTTCTTATATGAATTAGATATGTATGAATTAGATATCAACTTTTTTGTATTTTCACTATTTATCAAATATCTCGGTAATATTTATTAGGTTAACATGATAACAAAATATTTATATCAATAAGTTTATAATTATATCATGCTAAGTTATCTTGTATCATGATAAGTTATAACTTATGTGATATATTTATATTTACCGTCTTAACTCATTTATTATATCATATATAAAAAATTAACGAGTTACTATAACGTGCAAAATATGAATTTCATCCAATAAGATTATTATTATCACCTACCTCTAGATAAAGTTTTAGTTAACTCGGTAATTTGATTGTTTACCAATTTGAATCTGAACAAAAACTACCATTGTCGTAATCTTCAACCACCACATCTCCGCCGTATTCTTCTCACCCCATCATTTCAGAACCATTTTTTTCCTCTACCGCAAACCCACACCATAATTATTACCTCCGCTACGGATAAAATTATCACCGCCACCATATTCTTTTATGTCGGTATCACCTCCCATGGTTTCCTTGTCTTCTCCCATTTTTACAACCACCATATAATCATCAGTGCCACCATATAATTATCACCATCAACCACCGTGAACTTTCATATTATTGTATCGTAAACTATTTTCACCATCGGAATTGAACCACCATCATTATAATCACTTTCATCGTTGGAATTGAACCACTCCGCCGGATTTCAAAATCACAACCAAGATGAGACGACCCATCTAATCAATTCTTTGATAGACCCAAAAAAACACAAAAAAAAAAAAGATGATGATGAGAAGATTCAGAAGAAAAAAATGAAGAGAAGAAAACGATGAAAAGAAGATGAAGATGAAAGATAAAAGAACATAAGGATAATGATGTAATTTTCTTTGCTAATGTACTGTGTAAATAGTGACACAAATGTGTCAGTTAATTTTCTATTCTTCCATGTATACTTCTTATAGATACCCTTTTAAATAATGGATTTATCGTGATTTTAAGTGGTTTTGTTCTCCGCCTAGATGATATTTCTCTACCTAGTTATGTTAGATAAGAAAAAAAAAAGAGTTTTTCTTTTGTTTTCTATTGGTTTTCACCCAAAGTACAAGTAATTTTTCTTTCCCAATTATATAGAGGATTTGTAATATTTATGTTAGATTTGGAAGTGACTAGAGAACATTTGTTCATGTATATGATCTGCATTGTCTTTTAGCTGCTATTACAAATAGACTGGATCTTCGAGTTTTTTAGCAAGCGGTCGTGGACTAATGGAATATTTATCATCCTTTGTTTATCCGTGTTCTTTGGAATCCATTTAGATTTATTAGTGAAATTGGTAACTAGATGAGATATTTGATATATTTATGTAGGGCCGATCCAACTTAATTTGATGTCTAAAACAAAACATCTTTTTATCCCATCATAAACACAAAAATATTCGAATGCATAGGTTCAAATGTATAGGTTCAAAAAAATATTTGAATGTCTAGGTTCAAAACTCATCACGTTTTAAAGGGAATTAAAAGCACTCTACCACAATAACTTATTGAAAATAATGTCTTTTTATTGCTTTAAGAGATATGTTGCTTAAAACCCTTGTTTCATGGACTTTATCGTAGGATCGGATTCTGAATTGTGTCACGTCAACTTTATCCGTCTTTTGTAGACATCAGTAAAAAATTAAAAGAAACTACGATCAGATAAAGGCGAGATCAGATGATTTGAAATTCAACATAGCAGGAGACTCAAGCGGCATAGGTCGGCAGAAAACTTTAGCTCTACTCCGATAACATATGCCCATTAGAAAAACGTGATGCATGTTTTCTTGAACTGGATGATTTTTCAGTCTTCTTTCCTAAGCAACAACATCCAAGTGGATTTTTCCACTTGGGATTTAATTTCTTAAAAAGACGATACAGGCTTTCTTGGTGTTTATTCTTGTTTTAGTTAGATTGTTAATTTTTATTTTTTTTAGGGTATAAGAGTTTTATATGTTGTATGTTTTATTTTCTCTATTAATAAAATACAATTAAAAAAAAAACCAAAAAAACTCATATCCACACATTTGAGTATTGTAATTTGATGGGTTTTCAGTGGGTAAGGATTCTTAAGAAACCAACACCAACACATAATAAATATAATTTTCGAAATCTTCTTTTTTTTTTTTTTGAAAAACAAATGTGTGATTAATTGTTACACTTCATTAGAAATATAGATCTCATGGTTGAAGACTAGGCTCCTAATTAACGGTAACCGCATGATTTCCACACTTCATTAGAAACATAGAGAGTTTCGAAGTGCATGACGTAGGTTTTAGACAACTATCATTTCGAAGTGCATTAAGTAGATGATGACAAAAAAAAAAGAAGTGCATTAAGTAATTGCATATTAATGCTTGAGGTTGATGAAAAACCGGTTTTTCGTTATACTAAAAAAAATAACTCTTTAGTTCACTTGTTGTTGTTCTTAAGATCAACAAGCTTTGCAACTCTTTCTACAATATCCAAGGTCAGTTTCTGAACCCATCATGTACATTGGATTCTTCTCGCATTCCCCTGCCTTTGCCCATATTTCGCAGCTCTCATGATCATCCACACACCCATCTGGTTGCTTCTTACCAAATGACCTAACATGAATCCATCTGGTTGCTGACCATTTCTCTCCCTCAATCACCGGACAACTTCCATGTAAGCTAGTTGGATCCGTGGTTGCATTTGGATGAAGATTGAAGAACAACAATGCGTCCCCTTTCCTCGGTTTCACTACAAAGATACATATTCAAATAATATGATATACCATTTGGAGAAATAGTTGTATCATTCATAAACATTGAATCTTTCATGCTACATGTGTGTATATACAACATTTTTACCTGCATAGCCTTGTTTTGCACATTCCGACCAACTATCGTCTTTTAGCTGAGGTGTTTTACCCTATAAGAATGTGTGGTCAAATCGAAATCCAAATCTTAAGTGAGAATTTATAGAACCGGAATTGATGTATGTATTTTACCTTCCACATAGGAAACACTGTTTCTCCACCCTTTGTGACATTGGACAAGTACATTAGTACGGTGGCGATCCGATGACCACCGAGCTTTAGAGTTTCCTTGTCGTAATAGTAGTCGAAATGTGGATCATATTTTTGACCATTCTCATAGTGCAATATTTGTAAGGCTTCCCCATTTTCTGATCCACAACACATAAAATGATGATGAGAGTAACTGAGTAAGAAACAGAATTAGAAAAAAATAAAAATGTATATGCCTCGCGGAAATACCCTCGGGAAGAAAGGTCCATGTAGCAAGTTTAGCCTCGACATTAGCTACTATATCATCCTGAAGGTTTAAGTACACAAAAACAATGTTAACTTGGTCAAGACTCAAGCGTTTACTTCTTTTAAAAAAAAAACATAGAACTAGTCTGTCTAATTAGTGAATCAAGCTAGTCGAATACGATATAAATACCGCATAACATCGAAAACTACATAGTAAAATGCCACTGTTCTCACCTGTCTTTTGGTCAGAAACATTCCAGAACTTGTGCGTTCTTCACTATCTATACTCTCACCTGAATTACCATCAGCCACCACCATTGACTTCTCAAGCTTTCCTTTTGCCTAAAACCAATTTTCAAATCAAAAATAAAGTTTCTTGATTTAATCATAAAGACACGGAAACTTAAGAACATGTTTGAATCTATACCAAGTTAATCAAATGATCACATTCCTCATCCGAGAGAAACCCCTTGTATAAAAATGCCCTGACGACACCAAAAATTTTACATTCTTTAACATAACAGAACAAAGATCATGATTACTTATAATATTAAAATTCAGATACACAAAACACAAACCTTGGAGTCCATGAGAGTTGAGTGACTCTAGTTGGATCAAAATTAAAGGAGGAAGATGAAATTTGAGAGAAAATCAAGAGAAGAGAGAAGGAAAATGCAAGAAAATTTTGAGAACCCATCATGAAAATTTTCTTTAGTAAGACTTTTGAGATTTAAACGATTTTGTTCCTTGTTTACTAATGATGCCTAGTGAATTTTTTTGCTTGTTGTTTTATTTTTCGTTGACTAGTTGTGTCACTTTTGGTAGGTTCTTTAACTCTTTTTACCGGAAAATAAACTTCTTTTTTTCTTTGTTGACTAATAATAAAGATTTTGATTTTTCAGATACTGTAATACAACCCAACCATGTTCCAATATAAAACATCAATTACCAAGAATACACTCCTTTCTTATTCAATTCAAAAATTAAAAATATTTAAGTTTTGATTATGAAATCAGGGTACATTAACTTTAAATTAATATTTTCTATTTAAATTTAGATCTGCTTCCAAATATATATATTTATTTGCATAAATAAATACAATTTTTCTAATATTTTCTAGCTAGTATCTTCAGAGAAATATGTTTGGCATCTCTTTAAATTATTTTAATAGATGAGTTTAAAGTTTTTTTTTATGATAATCAATTTAAAAAGTTTATATGATATTTAAACTATTTTTTTTAATAATTTGGATCCAGATCCTGTTATCTTAAAATTTTAACTAGTCATTAAGACTCATAACATATCATCATTAACAACAAGATTTTGGAAATATGTAAAAAAAATTCAAATCAGCAAAATGGGTTTAAAATCTCTCTTACATATAAGGCCCACTAAAGATCCATAACTTTAAAAGGCCCATTAAAATTTCCAGCTCTGTTTCGTGTACCGTACGTACGGAACAAAACCCTAAAAATCTCCTCTGCATTATGGGACAGAGAACATTTTGACCCTTTAAATACACAAACTATAGAAGAACGCAGTCCCTTTCACAAACCCTAGCAGTCGAAATCAAAACCCTAAAACGATGAAGGTGATCTCTGCATTTCTTCTCGCGAAACTTGGAGGAAACGAGAATCCAACCTCAAATGATCTGAAGAAGATCTTGGAATCTGTTGGTGCTGAAATCGATGAAACGAAGATAGATCTGTTGTTTTCTCTGATTAAGGATCATGATGTGACGGAGCTTATCGCTGCTGGGAGAGAAAAGATGGCTGCTTTGTCTTCTGGTGGTCCAGCTGTTGCTATGGTGGCCGGAGGTGGCGGTGGTGGTGGTGGTGGTTCTGCGGCTGAGCCGGTTGCTGAGTCTAAGAAGAAGGTTGAAGAAGCTAAAGAGGAATCTTCTGATGATGCAGGCATGATGGGTCTCTTTGATTGATGATTTGGTTAGAAGTTTCGTTTAAATGTTCAGACTTTATGTTTCTGATGTTGGTTTTGTGATGGATCTTTTGTTTAATGTTGAGACTTATGTTTCTGATGTTGGTTTAATAATGCTTGGTGCTTATGATTGGATGATTCTATGGTACTTGTGATGTTGATAGTGAGTTTGTTTATGTGATTTGATGTTTCTGGATTGCTAAGTAGTTTTATCATGATTAGTGCATACAGATGGATTAAGAGTAGTGAGTCCAAATGTGAAAAAGGGTTTGTTTTGTTAGTGGCTTAGAACACATTGGAGCAAATCTTCTTTATGAGTTTAAACTATATTGTGAGTTTGTGTATGTAATTTTGTATGATTTTCATGTGAGTTTGTGTATGTGAGTTTGTATGATTTTCATCATGGGTTTGCTTTTGGTTTGGTTTGCTAAGTATTCTCACCACGATTAGTGAGTCAAAATGTGAAAAGGGTTTGTTTTCTTAGTGGCTAAGAACACATTGGAGCAAATCTTCTTTATGAGTTTATGCTATATTATTGTGAGATTGTATGATTGTCATCATGGGTTTGGTTTTGGTTTGCTAAGCATTTTTCACCATGACTAGTGAGTCAAAATGTGAAAAGGGTTTATTTTGTTACTGGCTAAGAACAACCTTAGAGCTTATCTTCTTTATGAGCGGATATGTGTATGTATAGTATAGGTTAAAGAAGTTGTTTTTGAGTTTATCATTAGGTACTTTAAAAAAGATGGTATGAGTTTGTTTAAGATACTTGGAATGAGTTTTGATGATCTAAATCTATCGATTAAGCTTGCATTATAAACTATTGATGTAACAAACATATGAATTTTATCAAAGCTGTTTCATTTAGGAGATGTTATTATTGATATTGGTACTGGCTCCATGTAGCTTTTCTTAGTATCTTGCACTTTTGATTTCACTTGCATAGAGAAAACCCACAAGAGTAGGACCATTTGATATCACTCTTGAAAAATCCTAGGAAACTTGTCAGTCTCAGTCTAGAGCAACATTTCTCTATCCAATACTTTCATGGTGAAATACACAATCCATCAACATTTCTTTGTTACTCAGAAACTGTGAAAGTTATTCCGAGGTTTACATATCTTTGGACCTACTCGTTTCTCTACCATTATTGGTGATTGTTAAGCTCTAGCTACTTGAATTGGCATTGCTCGAGTGGGAAGGCTCAAAAATTGGAGTTTTGACAAGTTGTGTACGATGGAGAAAAGGACTCTTCTATAGTTGATGCTCTTAAGCTTTCCACTGGTAGCCACTTATGATTTGGGCTTTTGACTTTGTTCTTAATGGGCCTTTAAAAGCCCAAGTTCGTGGTTGTCCGTGAGATGAGAAACTGTCTTTTTGGATTCGAAATTCTAGTATATATATATATATATATATTTTCGGAGACATTTATGAAATAAATAGTTTTGGTTACATAAATGACCTGCATTGACATCATCATCCAAGAAAATGAAAATTGTATGCTTGAGATATTTAGTTTTCCTAGTTTTATTTGAGTATCGAATCTTTAGGTGAGCCACGTTAATTAAGACCCATATTTTTTGTACTTATCAACTGAATCTAGTCTAATCATATAGATCTAAGATTATTATCGTATAAAATGATTCAATCGACGTCATTGCAAACGTATATAAAATAATTCAATTGACGTCATTATAAAGAGGAAAGCATCGCTAAGCATGCTTATCTAAGAGTCCGGGCGTACTAAACTAATTATATGACATCAACAAGAGAACCATTTATTTGCACACCAAATCAAATTTTGTAATTGTATTGTCAAAAAAAAAAACATCAAACTCAAGTTTCTCAAAATTAATTTAATTCAAATTAATCACTTTCAATATCTCGAATATCTCACATATAATTCACGCCATTGCAATTTTTTTCAAATCTTATATCTTAAAAATCAAAATGCAAAGATTAGTCTGCAAAAATTTAAAATTCTAAATCACAAGGGTTGTTTTTAGGCTTTTTGTATATTAAAAACATATCCAAGATAATTTCAAGCTTTTTTTTTTATTTATTTGTGACATCAAATTTTTAAAATGAAATGACAAATTTCTAAAACAGAAACATAATTTCTTACGAGCGAGATTCCAACTTTTTTTGAGATTTTTCGATTCTGACTCTAATTTCCAAACGGAAAATGGACATCCGATAAAACTTTCGTACTAACTAGATTTAGAGAAAATCTTGGCTTGAAACCTAAGTGTAACCTGCCATCATGTAGGATATGTCATCCTAACGTTGTATACCTTTTTCAATAGACAACCAATTAAGAATCAAACACCTTTCGTAATCAATTTAACCTTGTCGTCTAAGGTATACTAATTTACGATAGTTGACTAGACTACAAGAAACAAAATAATAGAATAATTTCGTCAAGAAAAAAATGGTTTTTGGCTCATACTTTACATAATATTTTACACTTAAAATTATTTAAGTGGCTCCTCGCATGATCCCAAAGAGCAAGCTTATATCGAAAAGTTTCTAAACACTTCACCTAATCCTAGAGACTAATTAAGATCAATTTCGCAAACGACAAAACCTAGTAAAAATTCCACATCATATTAGTATTAAACATCTACATGTAGTTTCCTGAAAACTAATCAGAGATTTCGTGGCTTCTTCCTCGAAACTCGAGCTTAGGATATAAATAGAGAGTGAAGCAGAGAGTTATGAAACCAAATCACAAGAGACACAAACACAAATAGTTTCGTGTGACACAAGTAAAGAGTTTCGTGAGACACAAGCAACACAAAAAGATGCTTGAAACCGGAGCGATATGGGGATTAACCGGGACGACGGTGACGAGCTTTATGTTCTTCTGGGCGATTTACAAACAATACGTGCCTAACCATCTCCGAGCCTACGTGGAGAGATACTTCCACAAGATGATTGGATGGATCTCTTATTACGTTCACATCAAATTCACTGAGTACACAGATGAAGGTCTGAAGAGAAGCCAAGCCTACGACTCTATACGCAACTACTTAGCCTCGAAATCAACGGCTCTTGCAAAGAGACTAAAGGCCAACGAAACGAAAAACAGCAAATCTTTGGTGTTTAGTATGGATGATCATGAGGAAATTGAAGATGAGTTCGAAGGTGTGAAGGTGAAGTGGTATTCGAATGTTAAAGTGATTCAACCTCAGTCTAATTATGGTCGAAGCAGCTCAGAGGAGAGAAGGTACTTTACTCTTAGTTTCCATAGGCGACACCGAGGGATGATCATTGAGACTTATCTTGATCATGTTATGAGAGAAGGGAAAGCTATTGGGTTGAAGAACAGAGAGAGGAAGCTTTACACTAATAACTCGAGTCAAGAATGGTATCCTTGGAGGTCAGGAAAGTGGAGCAACGTTCCCTTTCATCACCCGGCGACGTTTGAGACTTTGGCTATGGATCCAGTGAAGAAAGAAGGAATTAAGAAGGACTTGATAAAATTTAGCAAAGGGAAAGATTATTATAAGAAGGTTGGGAAGCCATGGAAGCGCGGTTATCTCTTGTTTGGCCCGCCCGGGACAGGGAAATCGACGATGATAGCTGCAATAGCGAATTTCTTGGACTATGATGTGTATGATCTTGAGCTAACGACCGTGAAGGATAACTCAGAGCTGAAGAAGTTGTTGCTGGATACAACAAGTAAGTCTATTATCGTGATTGAAGACATTGATTGCTCGCTTGATCTTACGGGGCAACGAAAGAAGAAAAAAGAGGAAGATGAAGAAGAGGATGGAGAGGAGAAGAAGGAAGCTGAGAAGAAGCCTAAGGTAGATGAGAAGCAGAGCAAGGTTACTTTGTCAGGGTTATTAAACTCCATTGATGGGTTATGGTCAGCTTGTAGTGGTGAGAAGATCATAGTGTTCACAACAAATTTTGTGGATAAGCTTGATCCGGCATTGATACGTAGAGGAAGAATGGACAACCACATTGAGATGTCTTATTGCAAGTTTGAAGCATTTAAGGTTTTGGCTAAGAACTACTTAGAGATTGAAACACACGATTTGTATGGAGAAATCGAGAGAAAGCTCGAAGAAACCGATATGTCTCCAGCGGATGTGGCGGAGACTTTGATGCCGAAATCTGATGAAGAAGATGCGGACATTTGCATCAAGCGTTTGGTTAAGACTTTGGAGGATGAGAAAGAAAAAGTTAGGAAGTTGGCTGAGGAAGAAGAGAAGAAGAAAGCAGAGAAGGAAGCTAAAATGAAGAAAAAAGCAGAGGAAACAGAGGAGAAGAAGAATGTAGAGGAAGAGGAGAAGAAGAAGAAAGCAGAGGAAGAAGAGAATAAGGACAAAGTGAAGGGAAAGGAGCAAAACGGCGACGTTTCTAAGCAAAATGGTTCCAAGTAAAATGATATGAACAAAAAATGTGACGCCTAATGAATTTTAGTTTATTGTGTAAGGTTGTAACTTTGGCATGGTGTTTCTAAATAAATTTTAAATGCAAAAGTTAAGTATAATTGTCTTTATGAATAACTAGGTTTTGAACCCACGCGTTATTTGATATATTTTTGTGAAAATTAAATACGATTGATTATAGTTTTTAAATTACTATTAAAGCAAAATTTTCATTTCAAATGCACAATTCTAAAAATCAATAGTGTTTAAGAATAAAATCTTATCAAAAGAATCATGAATCATTCTTGTTTTCTCATATTCAATTGGCCGCCAACACCTATGCCAACACCTATGTCTTCGTATTTCTCTTCACATTCATCGTTTCTTGCTCTTTATATTTCTTCTCGTCATCTGCATTGTCAATTTTTCATGTCTGTTATCATCGTTTCTTTTTGCTTCTTCGTTATACTCTTCCTCTTCCTCTTTATCTTCCACACTTTCTTTCTCATCTTCTCCATCTTCTTCTATATAAAACATTGTTGTTATGTGGTTGAAAACAGAGCAAGAAATTTAAACTTACTAATATTATACAAACATATCTTCATAAGCCTATGAATTAACTACCTGAAATAACGTCGTTCATTTGACCTTTTGAACTCGAAATTTGATGTCTTTCTACCAAAACTTAGTTCCACGTTCTCCAGAATACTCCTACCAAATTTCAGATTATTTCGAGTACATTTGGATGTTCATGTCTCCACTTTGCTGGTCAGATATGAAACTTTAAACGAAATCTTCTCGAACATGTTGAAGACGCTTTCTTCTAAAAAGCCGTTTAAATCTATATCCTATCATTAAACCTCAAGAAAGTAATACCAGAAACCTCGCCATCAAGTTTCAGCTACATATGAACCAAACGTTACCATAAAGAAGTCATGTTATAACTATTTTCTCACTTTTCTTTTCCATATATGATAATTCAAGTTCGTCTTATGGTATCACAATCAGAACTTTTCTCACGACAATGGATTTCTCTCTATCTAATCTATATATCGCTCTTTCGCTTGTCGCCAATCCATCCACGTTTCCTCTTTCTCCTTTATTTTTACATGAAAAACTACCATCTTTGTTACCTAGATTATGACGTCAATTGTTTATTATATAAGGAAACTCTCATCAATTAAATTTACTACATTTCTTACGTATCGTCAATTCCCGTTTTTGATTTAAATTGGTACTCTAAGAAGAACAACTTTTTCCATAATTTCAACACAAGTTTTTATACCTTTTGCCTGGTTAGATATCATCCAACTGAAGTATATACAACCTATGTTAAAAGAACATAATTACACAAGAAGTTATCTCATTAGTCATAGTTTTATCCACTTGCATTTTAACGTAAACAATTTTCACTATATTGGGCTAGACATCTTTCCGAAGAGGGTTTCCTTGCATGGTCTTACATGTATGTTCCTTAACTTACCTCCATCACCACTTCATTAGATTTATTAGTCCATGACACTTCTTGGGCACAAGCAATTGATGCTGAATTTGTAAGAAGCACTAAATAACCAACCAAAATAATTTGTTTTAGAGCAACACAACTTGTTTCCCAGCGAACCTCCTGCAACCTCCAAGACCAGAATCATTTCCTATTTTCTCATAAGATGTCTCCTATTCAACCAGCATAGCCACCACCTGTACTCAATTATTGATACTTTCACACGTATACTCGATTTAAGGTACGCACGTATTGAAACTTTTCAAACAAAAATCCTACAAAATTGCAAATTACTTGCAGAGGAAACAACATGAACATGGCCACATGTATAGCTAATAAAATATGTGTGCTTGTCATTGATCCTTCTTCTTTAAACCAAAAATTTAACTCGAACAATCAAACCAAGGTCTTATGACTCATAACCTATATGAAAAAGCACAAACATCGACCAATGATGCACGTATTGAAACTTTTCAAACAAAAATCCTACAAAATTGCAAATTACTTGCAGAGGAAACAACATGAACATGGCCACATGTATAGCTAATAAAACATGTGTGCTTGTCATTGATCCTTCTTCTTTAAACCAAAAATTTAACTCGAACAATCAAATCAAGGTCTTATGACTCATAACCTATATGAAAAAGCACAAACATCGACCAATGATGCATATCATCGATCCTTCTTCTTCAGACCCAAAATTTTTACGCAAACAACATCAAATCATATATAATATCATATACGAACACATGTTTTACGGCTCATCAAAGATATGAAACAGAAACAGCCTGACAGACAGAGAAAAGTACCCACAGTGGCAAAAGCGATGAAAAAAATAAAAAGATGCGCGATTAAAAGTAGTTACCACCCCTCATTCTTACTAACAGTTTGAAATTTATAATTTAAAAAATTATGATCAAAATCAGATGCCTCCGATTATTATTTATATGATCCTAAGTTAATCGAATATATTTTTTTTTAATATTTTTTTTGTTGAAAAATTAGAAGATTAACAAAATAAGCATATAAGTTTAATGTTTTTCAAAAATTTATATTTTTATTCTATATATTGCTTTTCTTATTTCTATATGTTGTTTTTTAAAAGTTTACATTTCTATTCTTTACATATATATATATATATATATTTTTTTTTTTTTTTTCTTTTCTCATAAATATCTTAATATATAAAGTATTAAAATTTTAAAATATTAATTAATGTAATGTCAAAAAATGTTAACTAATGTCAAAAATATTTACTTTTTTATTATATTTAGTTTATGTATTTAATAACAAAATTTCTATTCAGAAATGTTTCATATTTTTAGATATTTTGTTTGTAAATTTAATAATCTATAAAAATAAAAATTTACATTTTGATTATTTATATTATCTTTTTAAATAACATAATAATATACAGTAATTAGAAATATTTCCATATTTTCAAATATTTCTCTTATTGTTTTTTTTTCTTTTTTACTAAAACTTTAAAATAGAAAATTATCATAATCAAAATATGTTAATTAACGAGATGGCTAGTCCTAATTGGTCGTTTTAAATCCTAGGTGGACGGCCTCAGAAGCTTATAGCCTCGACTTTTATATAGTATAGATATTCAAAATTACCATATTTTAATTTTTGCAAAAAAATACTTACTATCGTATTAATGAACTAGATGTTAACCCGCGGTACACCGCGGGCCTAAATATTATTTGATTTTTTTTTAATTATTAATTTAAATATTTTATTTGACATATATAAATTTTTTTTATTAATTTAAATGTATATATTGATATTGAGAGTTGTATATATCTATAAATGGTAGAATTAGTAAATTTCAATTTCATTTTAGTAAAAATAGATCCAAACTTCATAATTATATTTTGATTGTTATATCTAGATTTTCAACTATAGTATACCGTCCCGTATTAATATCTTTTATAAATATTTATAATGTTTAAACTTCCTATAAATATTTCCTATCCTCATTCGTATTCAAAATTATTTTGGTCATTTTTATAGTATGACTCTGAACCATTACCCAATTTTTTAAGAAATGTAAGACAATGTGCATATATTGTTTGTTAACAAAGATATAGGAATATATTTGTTTCTTTAAGGTAAATTAGTTGTAATATAAATTAAAAATTTAAGCGAGAATTATGGAGGTATATCTTGCCATATAACCAAATTGGATCCTTAGCATAATATTCTCTTTTTTTCATATCAGAATAATATCTATTAATTATAAACAAATCTTAACTAAACATTACATAATCTTTAGCATTTTAATAGAAAATATTAATTAACGCCAACAAATTTATATTTTTAAATTTATTATTTACCAACCACAAAATCATAAATTTAAAGTAAAAGAAATGCCCGATTCTCTCATATGAGAGGAGTTGTGGACCCAATAAATGCTGTCTCTTTCATGAAATCGTGTAACATAATTTAATTCACTACAAAAATAATAGAGAAATTGTTAAAAATGCCCATTTTTCAATACCCCTTTTCAAAAATGCCCCCTTTGAGAGTCCATTTTTAAGTTTGCCCTCTTTTAATTTTTAATGACCATTTTACCCTTATTTGAAACAAAATTAGGTCCACAAAATACAAAATATTTTTTGGCGGGAAAAGTGATCCCGCAATTTTCCCGCCAAAACACTTGTAAAAAACCTTTAAAATACCTTGTAAAATTTTCCCGTAAAATTTTTCCCGCCAAAAAATTTTCCCGCCAAAAAAATTTTTTTGCGGGAAAAGTGATTCCGCAATTTTTTTTTTTGGCGGGAAATTTTTTGGCGGGAAAAATTTACAAGGTATTTTAAAGGTTTTTTACAAGTGTTTTGTAAGGTTTTACAATATATTTTAAAAGGTTTTACAAGGTACTTATTAGGTTTTATAAGGTATTTATAACTTGTAAAACCTTATAAAAAACTTGTAAAACCTTATAACTTGTAAAAACCTTATAAAATAGCTTGTAAAATCTTATAATATCTTGTAAATACGTTGTAAAACCTTTTAAAATACATTGTAAAACCTTATAAATACCTTGTAAAAAACCTTTAAAATACCTTGTAAATTTTTGGCGGGAAAAATTTTCCCGCCAAAAATTTAACGCCAAAAAAATTGCGGAATCACTTTTCCCGCAAAAAAATTTTTTTGGCGGGAAAATTTTTTGGCGGGAAAAATTTTACGGGAAAATTTTACAAGGTATTTTAAAGGTTTTTTACAAGGTTTTACAAGTGTTTTGGCGGGAAAAATTGCGGGATCAATTTTCCCGCCAAAAAATATTTTGTATTTTGTAGACCTAATTTTGTTATATTTCCTTATATATTTGTGATATATTTTATTAAAAGAAGGGTAATTTAGTCATTTTGTACATAAAAAGGGGTATTTTTAAAAATGGACAGCCAAAGGGGGCATTTTTGAAAAGGGGTATTGAAAAAGGGGCATTTTTGTGAGTCTCCCAAAATAATAAGGTCATGTTTTATTTTATTACATCAATTTGTGAAACACAAAGACAAAATCATCACAGCCAAAAAATTAGAAAACGGCCGGTTTAGATAGAAATTCAAAAACCGAGTTTTTGGTTTGGTATCTTTTTTTTTTT